TGGCCTCTGAGGCCAACACTGCTGATATCTTCACCAAGGCACTTGCGCCTTGTGACCATCACCGCTTCTGTACTCTGTTAGGTCTTGTACCTACCTTGCCTCACTTGCTCACTTCTTGACCTTGCTTGTACTGTTACATATATATATACCTGCTCTTGCTTGTTTAGCGTTATATATATGTGCGTACTCATGCATGTGAACTGGCCTTGTGGCCTTGACCTTGTGCTCAGAATGTGTGGTGACGTTGTGATCCACCCTGAGCTTGCTTTGCCTTGCTTTGCTTGACTGGTCTTGTGACCCCTTGTTCTCCCCCACTTTGCCTATGGGGGTGTGTCAAACTTATATGATCTAGCCTGTGTAGGCTGTAGCGGGTTAGATACTAAGGGGTACACAATTCTAGGGTTTCATATTTGCATCACTTTCATTCCTTAGTCAATCCATTCTCGTCCTAAATTTCTCAGAATGATGTTTTGAAGGAGCTCGACATGCTCAACCTCAAATTTCAAAAGCGACCTGTATGTTTTGAGTTATGGTGATAGCATGTGTTTAATATCAGTCATATGTGCATATGTTAACCTGCCTTCTCTGTTTCCTGGATAGGTCCATGTTACACACGTGGAGCAAGTGAGCGACAACACGAAGATGGCTCTGAGGAGTCGCTACCTGTGCGACGATGACAACTTCGGGCATGGCAGCGAGATACTTCACAAGTTTCTGAAGGCATGGGCGAGTGCGGAAAGCTGTGAGGTTTCGGTGGATGGAACTGATACAGAAGGGACGCCCGTAACCCACAAGTACCTTCTACATGAAGACCATGCCGAAGGCCAAACCAGCGCCGGGGACCTGGCGGCGTGCCTCAAGCTTGCTCGTGCTTTTGTCTCCGCGCTTCTCGGCAGAATGGACTGGCGCTACAAGGACCTCTCCAGTTTGAGCGGTATAGGAAGCTCTTCAAGTAGTCACGTTACCCACGGTCGGCCAACAAGCAGCATAGGAAGTGCCTTGCATGGCTCCAGTTGCTGCGGGACATATTCAAACGGAAGCCATGCATGCCACACACTTTGTCAGGTGAGGCGAGTGTAAATGTTAGTGTTGCTTCGTTGATTGTTGTGTGTCATAACAAATTCTCCGTTGCATGTATGTGCGATGCTTCCGTAAAATAGAAGCCCTGCTATAACCCCTTCCCTTCCCACCTCAGGAGTCAACTGGGCGAAAGCGCAGCGTGAGTTGAAGAACTTCACCACCATCCTCTCCACTTACCACAACGACCTTGAGCTTCAAGAGGGACTGAAGCAAATGCTATCTACACCCGACTGGACGCACGCATATCCTAACATGGTGAACCTCTAGATCGATGTAGCCGTTCTTCTTGTGTCGACGGTCGAGTGCGAGCGCGGATTCTCGAGGCAGAATATCATAAAGAGCTGGCTTCGTGGCAGCCTCTGCGGCACGAAGCTGTGAGGGCTGATGACGGTGTCCCTGATGGAGCTGTGGCGCTGCACCAAGAAACGCAGACCTTCTAAGGAGGTGGTGATGGTTGCAGGCTCAAGGCCGGTGAAGCACTCCAAGAAGGCAAAGAAAGCCTTGGCGAAAGAAAGCCTTGGCCGCAGCAGCTGCGGCAACAGCAGCAGAGGAGAGCACCAGGGTGGAAGCTGAGGAAGGTGGATGGCAGAGCAGGGGGAAGACCATGGCCAAAGCTCCCTTGGACAACCCCGCCGATGAAGAGGACAGTGGAGACAGCAGCAGCAGCAGTATTAGTGATAGTGATTCTATTGATTCAGAGTAGGCTTCCTTCCTCCCTCAGTAGTAATTGTAGTATGTTTGCTGTGTGTCACAAGTGGTATTATATTTTTAGAACGCAATGAAAGTGGGCTGACATCATCATGGCTCAAAATTCTAAACACAAACAGTGCTCTGGTCTGTTGTTTCTCTGAATTCCTAGACCGGGACTTCTTGTTCGTCTGGAAACCCAGACCGCTTTGTCGGAAATTCCCTTACCCTCTTTAGTTACCGCCCTCCCCTCCCCCTTGCTCTGACCTTGCCCTTTTTCCTTCTTCATTGTATTCCCCTTTCTCCTCCCCTGCTCCTCCTTTCTCTGGTCTGTGCCGTTACTCCCAACCCTTATTATCCACACCCTTCTCACTATCTCTTGCCAGGGATGACTCCTCCCTTATGCTCTCGGCTTCTCCTTCACTGTTCCTGTTTCTGACCTCTCCTTGATAAGCTCTCTCAGCTTACTCACATATCTACGCGCTGTAACTCCTAGCCTGTTGCTTGTACTGGCCCGAGATCTTCCATACACGCAGGTTGTTGCGATTCTTGAAGTTAGCACAGAACATACAAGCAATGCAGAGTCAAATGCCCGTACCCCCTATATCCTGCCTACTCTCTTCCCCCTATTGCTACTCCTTGACACTTCCTTGGAGGTGACAGCCTCCTCGCCAATACGAAGAGCCATCCTCCCATGCCGCTAGCCTCCAACACTTAGCCCTCCACCTGCCAACCCTCCAGCTTGTGGCTGTAACCCCAGCTCGCTCAGGCATCCAACCTGCAAGGAAACGAAACATGCACACGCACACGAAACAAATAGCTCCTTCCAGCTGTCACACCCCCCCTTCCCCTCATGCGGCCCTCTGCTGACGTGCTGCCTCATCCTGCCCTAACCCATCATTCTTGTCGTGCTTCTCCCCTTTCCTCGGTACTCGCTTGTTCAGTTCGCTGTAAAAATATACAGTATGTACATTCATCGATCATTCTCCTTATCTCGCGACAGCTTGGAGTTGCTCATATTTTGCTAAGACGAAAAAAAAATCGGGGACTTAGGTTTCATATGGGCCTAAATCCTAGCCAGAGCCCTGGCTTTGACTCTTCTGACTCCTCGATTTTGTACTCGTTAGAGTTGGCTACTGCAGCGTACAGGAATTCCTTCTCATAAAACTTCATATCTCAACCTTACAAAGTCGACGACGAGGAACGGATAGTATATGTCATGAAATGTTATGCATGTGTTGTTGGGTCTGGGAAAATGTTCTGGAGCAGCTGGAAAAAGTCTAGAACAAACATCCACATACTAAAAGAGATTCCTTTTGGCGCATCTGCACATCCTCAGAATTAGTGAACGTGACGTGATGCATAGTATATAAATATGTTCAGCGTTTATGGGGTTTGGAACATCGGTTGGAGTTGTGTGCAGCCGAGAATGCTATTGCAGGGGATGGGAGTTGTTTGGCTGGCGAAGCGTGTGACTCTTGCAGGCGAAACATTTTTTTCCTTGCGCGAAACACTTCGGGTGTCTCTGTTGCACTCAGGTAAGTTCACGACAAGATTTGCTGCGCTTTCATGCTATCTTCGGATAGGCAAGTAACACTGTTTCAGTGTAGACCTTTTAGGACTTGGCTTTAAGTCATGCTTGTTGAGTGTGTACTGTATGCGGTTACGACCATAAAACCCGCAGCCTGAATTACAAAAAAAGTTGGGAGGTGTTAACACCTCCCCTCCCGAACCAGGGTGGTTACCAGGTCTCACCTTCAAAACGTGAGGAAAGTCGCAGGGTGTGTAGGGAAGGATCGCAGGGGTCTCACCACCACTCTTGGCTGAGGTGTGCACACCAATATCCAAATCTGTAATTCAGGTCGACAAAAAACGCAGAGTTCAGGGCCAAACTTGGGGCAGTCATAGCTTAGAAGAGAGTCGTCGCGCCGACTTCCACGCCGGTTTAGGGTTCCGCTTTACGCTCTGGGACCATGCCTCCATTCCGACGGGATGAGTCGCCCTTGCTGATCCGCGCGCCTTACATCTCGTTTTCACTGCACGTACCGTAAGGAGCCATGCCCGCAGAATGCAGCCAAGGATTACACATAGATTCCTAACTCAATGTCAAATCTACTGAATGTAGTCGAGTTTCTGACAGCCCATTCGCGCATCTCGCGCGGAAGACTCCGTAACTACGAATAAAGTCCGTGTCCGCTAGTCACCCCCCCACCGTAGCTTATTGCGTAGGTTTCGTTCATATGCCGGTCCGCCATCGCCTAGGATTTCGCTCACGCTTTCGATCGGCGATCCCGCCACTCACCTCGCCTCTCCTCGCGGCCTCACCGCGCGTTTCCCCGCAGCCTCGTCGCCTCCCCCCGCTGTCTCGCCTCGCCTTCCTTTGCATGATCGGCTCGCCGGAAATCGCCGCCGCATCAAGCCCCAGCTCGCGGCCTCGCCGTTCCGCGCCGAGCTGCCTCACCTCGACGACCCGTCGCGGCGTCGCCTCCCCACGCTGCCTCCTCACGCCACCGTGAACGCGCTCACAGCGCCGCACACTGCTGAGGTTTAGCGTGCTCTCGCACGCTCAGATTCGCCGCTTGCGTGCGAAACCTCCCAACGACGCCGTTTTCGAACTAGTCGCCGCAGCCGCATGTGAGGTCGCCCTCCCCATCTCTCCTTCCCGCCTCCCCTTCCCCCTTCCAGCCTCCCCATTTCCCCTTCCTTCCTCCCCATTTCCCCTTCTTGCCTCCCCAATTCCCCTTCCTGCCTCCCCATTTCCCCTTCCTGTCTCCCCATTTCCCCTCCCTGCCTCCCCATTTCCCCTTTCCGCCTCCCCAATTCCCCTTCCTGCCTCCCCATTTCCCCTTCCCGCCTCCCCATTTCCCCTTCCTGCCTCCCCATCTCCCTTTCCTCCCTCCCCATTTCCCCTTCCCGCCTCCTCGTTTCCCCTTCCTGCCTCCCCTTCCTGCCTCTTCATTTCCCCTTTCCGCCTCCCCATTTCCCCTTTCCTCCTACCCATTTCCCCTTCCATCCTCCCCATTTCTCCTTACCGCCTCCCCATTTCCCCTTTCTGCTTCCCCATTTCCCCTTTCCGCCTCCCCATTTCCCCTTTTCGCCTCCCCATTTCCCCTTTTCGCCTCCCCATTTCCCCTTCCTGCCTCACCTGGTCCCTTCCTTGTCTGCTATTTTCCCCACTTCCCCTTCCTCCGCGGGCATTCCTCCCCTTACCACATCTACCTTACCCTCCCCAGCCGTCGCCTACCATCCCATAGCTTCCCCTTGTGTCCCCTACCCACCCCTTCCCCCTTGCCATTACCGAACCGGCGCCACTCCGCCGCGAGGAGTGTGGGTGAGGGCAGGAGTGGGGGCCGGCGTAATAGAGGCGCAGGTTTGGAGTCGTGGCTCCCTGCACGAGGTGGGGTGGGACAGCCCAGAGCTCCCCTTCCATTGTTTTTTTTTTCCATCACGCCCACCCCCTGCCCGAGCCTTCCCGCCCTCCCTGCACGAGGTGAGACAGCCCAGAGCTTCCATGCCATTAGTATCCTCTCCCCATTTCCTCACCTCCCCATCCAGCGCACGCAGCGTACAGCAAGGCAGAGGAGAAATTCCAATGTGCATCGCCATCACTCACCTCCCCATCCCTCACCTCCCCATCCCTCACCTCCCCATCCCTCACCTCCCCATCCCTCACCTCCCCATCCCTCACCTCCCCATCCCTCACCTCCCCATCCCTCCCCTCCCCAACACCGCAGAAGAGTGTTGGCGTGCGACCCGCAACACCGCTGTCACGGGCTTATCTTCAAGCTGAGTCGGGGGCGCAGCGACATCTTGAGAGCCACCAACTCCGCCTCACCCCATACCGCCTCATCCCCTTCCGCCTCATCCCCTTCCGCCTCATCCCCTTCCGCCTCATCCCATTCCGCCTCATCCCATACCGCCTCACCCCATACCGCCTCACCCCATACCGCCTCACCCCATTCTACCTCACCCCATCCCCGCCTCCCCATCCCTTCCCTCCCCATCCCTCAACTCCCCATCCCCGCCTCCCCATCTCTTCCCACCCATCCCTCTCCTCCCCATCCCGCACCTCCCCATCCTTCATCTCCCCATTCCGCCTCACCCCATCCCAACCTCCCCATCCCGCATCTCCCCATCCCTCACCTCCCCATCCCGCATCTCCCCATCCCTCACCTCCCAGTCTCTCATCTTACCGTCCCTCTTCTCCCCATCCCTCACCTCCTCATCCCTCACATCCCCATCCCTCCTCTCCCCATCCCTTGCCTCCCCATCCCTTACCTCCCCATCCCCTCCCTCTCCATCCCTCATCTCCCCATCCCTCTCCTCCCAGTCTCTCATATTACCATCACTCTTCTCCCCATCCCTCATCCCCCCATCCCTCACCTCCCCATCCCTCACCTCCCCATCCCTCCTCTCCCCGTCCCTCCACACCCCATCTCTTCCACACCCCATCTCCTCCTCACCCCATCTCCTCCACACCCCATCTCCTCCTCACCCCATCTCCTCCTCACACCATCTCCTCCTCACCCCATTCCGCCCCACCCCATTCCGCCCCACCCCATTCTGCCCCACCCCATTCTGCCTCACCTCATTCCGCCCCACCCCATCCCACAACCTCCCCGTCACCTCCACCCCGTCCTCTCTCCTCTCTGCTTCTTCTCCTCCTTTTCACATCCTCTTCATTCCTCTTCCCCCGTCACCGCGTCCCCTCCTCTCCCCATCCCCTCCTCTCGCCGTCCCATCTTCTCCCCACCACCTCCCGTCCTCTCCCCATCCCCTCCTCTTCCAAACCCATCCCTCCTCACCACATCCCTCCTCTTTCCATCCATCCTCTCCCCATCTCTCCTCTCCCCATCCGTCCTTTCCCCGTCCGCTCCTCTCCAACGCCTCTCCAGGTGTCTCCCACACCACTCTCGGCCCTGTGGAAGGGCATGGTGTAATGGCAGATCCCTCCTGTCCTCCCAACCTCTATTCCTCTCACTCCCCTCCCGTCGCCCACGCTCACTCACCTCCCGTCGCCCACGCTCACTCCCCTCCCATCGTCACCCACTCTGGTTGTGATGTGTTGGCTGTTTGATACTAAACGACGTATAGACATGCCATGTATTGGATAGTTTTGTATGATACGGCATTATGAGCTTCGGAGCAGTCATACACATGACCACTAGCTAGGGGTTCAACAAATAATATACTAGTACTATTTGTACGGAACAAGGGGAATCACTCAATTTTATAAGAGCACAAATCTGGGGGGAATGTAATGTTGCTTCCTGGTTTTGTCTGCTACACTGCAATCAATGAACCAGGCCGTGGTAAAGCCACAACATCTGGTGCTGGACACCTGTACCCTGCATTGGGGATATGGGGGTGAGTGAAGGGGAAAAGACAGTAAAAGGAGTGAGCAGAAGGGAAGAGAAGAAGCAGCGGGGGACAGAGTGAGAAGGGGGGAAGAGAGGAAGCAGTGGGAAACAGAGTGAGCAGAAGTGAAGAGAGTGAGCAAGGGGGAAGAGAGTGAGAACAGAAGGGGGGTGGGGAGCAGTGGTGAAACAGAGCGAGCAAGGGTGAAACAGAGTGAGCAACCCTAAACATAGTGAGGAGGGGGGAAGAGAGTGAGCTGGTGGGAAGATTGTGAGCAGAGGGAAAGAGAGTGAGTAGTGGGGAATATAGTGAGCAAGGTGGAAAAAGAGGAGGGGGAAGAGTGTGAGAAGGGCGAAAAAGAGTGAGCAAGGGGAAACAGATGGAGCAAGGGGAGTGGAAACGAGGGCGACGGACGGGGGAAAGTGAAGTCAACGGGAGTGGAAAAACGAGGTTGACGGGAGGGGGAAAGCGAGGTCGACAGCAGGGAAGGGGTTGGGGGGAAGCAGGGAAGGGGATGGGGGGAAGCAGGGAAGGGGATGGGGGGAAACAGGGAAGGGGATGGGGGGAAGCAGGGAAGGGGATGGGGGGAAGCAGGGAAGGGGATGGGGGGAAACAGGGAAGGGGATGGGGGGAAACAGGGAAGGGGATGGGGGGAAGCAGGGAAGGGGATGGGGGGAAGCAGGGAAGGGGATGGGGGGAAGCAGGGAAGGGGATGGGGGGAAGCAGGGAAGGGGATGGGGGGAAGCAGGGAAGGGGATGGGGGGAAACAGGGAAGGGGATGGGGGTAAGCAGGGAACGGGATGGGGGGAAGCAGGGAACGGGATGGGGGGAAGCAGGGAACGGGATGGGGGGAAGCAGGGAAGGGGTTGGGGGAAAGCAGGGAAGGGGATGGGGGGAAGCAGGGAAGGGGATGGGGGGAAGCAGGGAAGGGGATGGGGGGAAGCAGGGAAGGGGATGGGGGGAAGCAGGGAACGGGATGCGGGGAAGCAGGGAAGGGGATGGGGGGAAGCAGGGAAGGGGATGGGGGGAAGAAGGGAAGGGGATGGGGGAAGCAGGGAAGGGGATGGGGGGGGGCAGGGGAGGGGACGGGGGGAAGCAGGGAAGGGGATGGGGGAAAGCAGGGACGGGGATGGGGGGAGGCAAGGGAGTGGACGGGGGGGAGCAGGGAAAGGGATGGGGGGAAGCAAGTCAGAGAATGGGGGGAAGCAGCGCAGGGGATACGGCGAAACAGGGAAGAAGACGTGGGGAGCGGGAGAGATGCCGGGGAGAGAGCTGGGGGGAGGACGGTGGGGAGCAGGGCAATTGATGGGGGGAAGAGGAAGAGAGGTAAGCTGTGTGGGGGTGAAAGGCGATTATTGGGGAGAGGGAAGGGTGTAAGTGCGGGTTGGAAAGGGGGCGTGACAAGTGTGCGAGATGTGAAGGGAGCAAGGGAGGGATGCCGAGGGCAACGAGGAGTGGATGGGAGGGCGGCGGGGAAACCGAGGGCGACGGGGGAGAGAGATAGACGGGGATTGCGAGGGGACGAGCGGGAGGGAGGGTGACGAGCGGCAGGGAGGGCGACGAGCGGCAGGGAGGGCGACGAGCGGCAGGGAGGGCGACGAGCGGCAGGGAGGGCGACGAGCGGCAGGGAGGGCGACGAGCGGCAGGGAGGGCGACGAGCGGCAGGGAGGGCGACGAGACGAAGGGGGGCAACGGGCGGAAGGGAGCGCGACGAGGGGAAGGAAGGGCGGAGGACGGAAGGGAAGGCAACGGGAGGACGGGAGGGCGACAAGACGAAGGGAGGGCGACGGGCGGAAGGGAGCGCGACGAGGGGAAGGAAGGGCGGAGGGCGGAAGGGAAGGCAACGGGAGGACGGGAGGGCGACAAGACGAAGGGAGGGCGACGGGCGGAAGGGAGCGCGACGAGGGGAAGGAAGGACGGCGGGCGGAAGGGCGGGTGACGGGCGGATGCGAGGGCGACGGGCGGAAGCGAGGGCGGCGGGCGGGGAAGCAGCGAGGGGGACGGGCGAGGCGAGGGAGGTAGGCGGGGAAAGCGAGAGCGACTGGCGGGGGAAGCGAGAGCGATGGGCGAGGGAAGCGAGGTCGACGGGCGGCTAGGCGGCGAGGGCGACGGGCGGTGGGTGGGCGATGGGCGAGGGTCGCGAGGTGGGCAAAGCGCTAATTTCTCATCTCCTCACGCCTATTCTCCGTGCTTCGATTGCGTGGCCACGCTGCACCTAGGGATTCCGGTTGTCTGAAGTGTGTTCGCTATAAAATCCTAATGTAAGAATGTTCGCGCAATGTAGCTACTGAATTTGTGTGCTGCCGAGTGGAGGAAACTAAGATTCGATAATTTCTGTGTCTAAGTTAGTAGCTAGTAATGGTGTGCTGGTTTTTTGTCGACGGAGGTTCTGTAGGTCACATCCCTTCCCCATTGTATTGGTTTCCGTCGCCCAGATTCAATGTTGCGACACCTGTGTGTTCGCAAATTGGTTTCGCCACCCGAAAGTGTCACCCACCCACCCGAACCTCTCCCCAACCTCTTCCCAAACCAAGCGTTGACTCGTTTTTGTAATTCAGGCTGCGGATTATAATAAAAACTTAAAACTTAAAACGTGTGTCTCTGGTAAGTTCACGACAAGATTTGCTTTTCGCGTCACGAATATTCTAGCACGTCTGGTTTCCCTTTTGCACCAAATTCGCCGAAACGTTGGTTCTTAGCGAGGGATGACAGTGTCGATACCAGTGATAGGGGAGCGTCCGGGCGGGGAGGGACCTGGGGGAAGGCTCACGGGTTCTAGGTGGCAAGGGGGCCCAGTCCGCCTACCCGTCAGTGGGAAGGGAAGGGAGGAATGTCGGCTTTGCTCCCACGGGCAAAGGGAAGTGAGGACGAGCACATCCGCTCGGCTGGGACACGCAACCTTGGGATTGCTACAGCCATTCTCTCACCGAGGCTTCAGCCTATACACGCGCGCTATACGCGAAAAAGATCCCGCGCTATACGCTTCGTGAGCTATTTTGCGGGTCTGCCACGCAAATCCCCGAGTTTGATTTGGTCCGTCGGACCAGCCCTCTAGATTCGTGTAAAACCAGATCAGCTCTCGAGATTCGTGTAGGACTTGGTTTGGGCCTGGTCCGTCGGACTAGCCCTGATTCGGCAGACCAGGGGCTCCGCGGACCCTGAGCAACACTCCCTCCTGAAGCGTCGATTCTTTGCGGGGCAACGCCGAGTAGTATTCTAAGGTGCGGGGGAGGGAAGGGGATCTGGCTCACGCGACGAGGGGCACCACGGGTTCTGGGTGGCAAGGGGAGGAAGGTGAGCAACATCGGCTTTGCTCTCACGGCTAAAGGGGGGTGAGAGTCCAGGAGCACATCCGCTGGGACACGCAACCTAGGGATTGCCACACGCACTCTCACTGACACATCAGCCACTATATAACTGAGGGTTCCTTTGCTATTGCGCAGACTCTCCCAGCAACCTTATTAGCCTTCTAGCACTTAATTCCGTTTCATCTTATTAGCTAGTCAGAATGGCTGCAGTATCGCCGGTCGAACAGCTGTCAAACGATCTTCTCTCCGCTATCCTCCATCGCGTCGGCCGATCCGGCCAGTTCCAGCACGCGCTTGTGTGCAAGAAATGGCATCGCATCGCCCGTAGCGTGCACGACCACATCCAGATTCGCGAAGAGCGTCGCATGCGTCCTCGCGAGCTGCTCGCACTACTCTCGTCATTCCCAAGGCTCCGAAAGCTCGTCCTCGCCGTCGGCAGCATCACATCCGTCCCTGACTCCCTCCTCTCGGGGATTGCCGACACGTGTCCAGATCTGACGGACCTCCACGTCGATTCGATGGAACGAGAGTGCCGGCAGGGGGGGTTCACTGAGAACTCACTCTCGGATCTCCTGGAGAAGTGCACGCGGCTGGAGGGACTTCATCTTCATTGTCAGTCGAAACTGACCGCCATTCCCGCGTCAATCGGCGGCCTTTCGTCACTCAAGAGCCTGCACATCACCGACAGGGGGGGAATCGCTCGCCTTCCAGACGCGTTCACCTCGTTACAGGCACTCGCGCATCTCGTGATTGAAATGCGCAGCCTGGTTGAACTGCCTCAGGGCTTCGGCAATCTGAGGCGGCTCAAGACGCTCCGCCTGAACGACTGCATGCATCTCACTTCCATTCCCAATCCTTTGGGGCAGCTTACTGGCTTGATGCAACTTTCCTTCAGCGGGTTCGAGAGGCTTCAGCTGCCCGAATCCATTTCCAATCTTTCATCGCTACTGACCCTCGAAATTTTCAACGGCCTCATCCTTTCACCGCTGCCCGAGGGGTTCGGGAACCTGCCGGCGCTTGAAACCCTACGTTTGGAGGATGTGGGGGGGAGCACAGATCTGCCCGAGAGTATTGGGCAGCTGCTTTCTCTAACGGACCTTATCCTCGTGTCCCGAACACTCCAGCATCTGCCTGACGACCTCGCTCTTCTGCCACGCCTACGCACGCTCAAGCTATACGTTGGAACTGCCGTGCACCTGCGTCCCTCCACATACCTTGCCACCACACTCAAAGACCTCACCATTGAAAACTCTGCAACTCTACATTCTCTGCCCGAGGAATTCGGGCAGTTGACTGCCCTAGAGGCCCTACGCCTGGTTGACCTTTCTGAGCTCCACAGCCTGCCCGCGTCGCTTGGCAGCTTGACGAGCCTCAAGGAGCTGAAAATATCCCGTTGCCCGGCGCTGGCACAGCTTCCAGACGGCCTGAGCCTGCTGTCTTCTCTCGAGCAGCTGGACATCAGTCACTGCTGCGAGCTGACAGCACTACCGCAGGGCATGGGGAATGGCCTGCATCGCCTGCTCAGACTGATTCTAGTCCAATGCACAGCTCTCGCCGACCTCCCTCCATCCTTCTCTGGCCTCTCCTCACTCGAAACCCTAGAAATCAGTGACGCAACCAGCCTAGGCACGCTACCAGACGTGTTTTCCCACTTGACAAACCTTAAGGAGCTCTCTTTTTACTGCTTGCCGCACCTGTCCGCCCTGCCTCCCTCCCTCCCTGCCATCGGCCGTTCTCTCACCAAGCTCGAGCTGCTCGATTGCCCGCAAATCACAGCGCTGCCAGAGGAAATCGGACGGCTGGGAGCGCTTGAAAGACTCACGCTCTACAGTCTACCCAACCTGAAGTCGCTCCCTCGCTCGCTGTGTCAGCTGCTGCATTTGAAAAAACTGCAGTTGAAATACTGCAACGCGCTACAGTCACTGTTTGGGGAGGAAAACCAGGGAGCCGCATCACATGGCCGTGGGGCGGGAAGCACCCGCCTCGAGGTACCTGGTCACACGGGTAGCAGCAATGCCGCTGGCAGCTGTTTGGGATCCGAGGAGAGTGGCACGGGTGTGTCACTCCCATCCCTCAAGGTTCTTCAAGTATGGGGCCTTCCAGTGCAGCTGCTCGCGCCATCACTGGGTTACTTCTCATCCGTAACCTTCCTGGGTATCTCGCAAATGGATCCACTACGGTGCCTTCCAGATTCCATCGCTTGCCTCTCTCGCTTGCAGACACTCTCGATCAACTATACCAACAGCCTGCTTGCTCTGCCAGAGTCAATAGGAAAGCTGTCAGTCCTCACTTCCCTCAATCTTGATGGTCTCGCGAGCTTGACGGAGCTGCCTGAGTCGCTCGGGCAGCTAAAGAAGCTTCAGGTTCTTAGAATTGAACAATGCTGGAGCCTAACCAGGCTGCCCGAGTCCTTCGGCGATCTCTGTAGTCTGGAGGAGTGTCATTTGAAGGATGTCGGAATCTCGAGCCTTCCAGATGACTTCTGGAAGCTCTCTGCTTTGAAGGAACTCTCGCTCTCGTCACTGCCCAAACTCCGCAGCCTGCCCGAATCTTTTGCCCAGCTGCCCGCGCTGGAGAAGTTGGAAGTGATCGACTGCAAGCGGCTGACTCAGTTACCCTCAGGCCTTGGGCAGATGCGGAAGCTGCAGGGATGCATTGTCTCTAGCTTCCACCGGCGGGAGCCAAATTTAAGGTTCGTGGTTCACGCAGCGAACCTGGACGAGGGAGAGCGTGTGGTGGATGACTCGCAGGTCGGGGAGGAGGAGGAGGAAGAGGATGAGTCGGAGGGAGAAGATGACTCGGAGGGAGAAGATGACTCGGAGGGAGAAGATGACTCGGAGGGAGAAGATGACTCGGAGGGAGACGATGACTCGGAGGATGAGGATGAGGATGAGGAGGAGGGCGAGGATGAGGAGGATGGGGAGGATGAGGAGGAGGGCGAGGATGAGGAGGAGGGGGAAGAGGAGGAGGGGGGGGAGGATGAAGGGGAAGTCGGGACAGCTGAGGAGGATGAGGGGCGTGAAGGCGAAAGGAGTGGAAGGGAGGGAAGAGAGGGGAACGAAGGGGAGGGGAGCGAAGGGGAGGGGAGCGAAGGGGACGGGGATGAAGGGGAGGGGAACAAAAGGGAGGGGAGAGAAGGGGAGGGGAGCAAAGGGGAGGGGAACGAAGGGAATGGGGGCGAGAGGGAGGGGAGCTAAGGGGAGGGGATCGAACGGGAGGGGAACGAAGCGGAGGGGAACGAAGGGGAAGGGAACGAAGGAGAGGGGTCCAAAGGGGAGGGGAACGAAAGGGAGCGGAGCGAAGGGGTGGGGAGCCAAGGGGAAGGGAACGAAGCGGTGGGGAACGAAGGGAAGGGGAATAAAGTGGAGGGGAGCGAAGGTGAGGGTAACAACGAGGAGGTGTGAATGAAGGGGAGTGGAGCGAAGGTGAGGGGAACAAAGGAGGGCGAAGGGGGAGGGAGCAAAGGAGAGCGGAGTGAAGGGTAGGGGAATGTGGAACGGAGGAGCTAGTGGAGTGAGATGAAGATGAGGAGGACGAGCAAAGCAAGGACGGAGAGGGTGAGAGAGGAATGGCAAGTTGATGGAAGAGGATGATTCAGAGGAGGAAATAGGTGATATGAGGGAGGGTGGGGGGTTCATTAGAGAGAGAGTCGTATGATTGTATGCAGTGTTTGATGTGAACCCACGCTGCACTTGTACCTTTGTTGGCTGAACGGCATTTGAGCTGCATAAAAGCGTGTCATCTCAACCTGAGCGTTAAGTGTTGTTACTTTGTTGCCGGGACGCATGTTGGTGGTAGGGTTCTGTTTCTGTTTTCTGGTCATTCTAAATTTGCACTGCTGAAGCCTGCCTAAGTATCTCCACCACTCTCCCTCCCCCCAAATTACCCCCTCCTAGGTGTCTTCAAGTCTGCCCTCTCTTGTGACGACATGTCAGCAGCCAAGCGGTCTTGATGAGTTGGCATCCTACCCGGGCGGCCAGGTTTCGCAAATTCTCCGTGTACACGGGCAGCTGTTTAAATGATTGGCGCTGCTGGGGCTTGGCAAGCCGGATGTGTCTTTGAAGGGGGCAAGACAGAGGGTGGTAATCTATGGTACGGCGAACCTGGACAAGGGAGAGTGCGCAGTGGGTGGCTCGGATCGGAGGAAGAAGGTGAAGGGGAAGTGTGGTGGATGGGGGAGGAGGATGAGAAGAGTGAAGAGGAGGAAGGAGAGGGGAGTGAAAGCGAGGAGAGTGAAGGCCAAGGGAGTGGGGAAAGGGGGAGGTGGAGTAAGGTGGAGATGAGGAGGACGAGGAAGGCAAGGATGGGGTGGGGAGGTGAGGGGGATGATGAGATGGAATCTGAGAGTTTGGGGGACGAATAGGAAATTGGGTGAGGTGGCTATCAATGTCATTTCAAGCGCATGTCGTCCAGGCCTTTAGTCAATGTGTTTGAGACCTGGTTAGGTTGCAGATTCTGTAATTGTTGCTGAAGTGAGTCATAGAGACATTATTCCAACCAGCATAGGAGGATGGCACTGTGTAGATGGTGGTGGGGCAGCTTGGTCGGTCGGCATGCATAACACGAGATGAGAACGGGTGCAGAAGGGTGTGTCAGCGTGTCAGCCTTCACTTGTGCCACTGAGCTACATGCACCATCCCCGTTCTCTGCTGGGAGGCCAAGGAAGGAGGAACGATGAGATGGGTTGTTTGTGGTGTTGGGCTGAGTGCCCCTTAGGATCTTTGGTAGGGTTAAACTCTGGGTAGAGTGATGTAGTAGCGGAAGCGTTTAAATGAAGTCCTTGAACCACCTTGCGCTGGTATGTGAGGGCAAAGTAAGTTGATTAAAACAAGCAAGTACAAAGGTTTATATAAGAGTACAAAGAATACGAAGAGATATAATTAAACTGTTTTACTGTTGCGGTTCGATACAGTGCGACTCGGGCAACTGCTCAATGTCGAGTCAGTTGTGTGTCCTTGCTGTCGCGCTGCATTTGTCAAGTCAAAGGTCGCTGACCTTTGACTTTCGCGTAACCTCCAGCGGTTACTTCAACCTCCGAGGGTTGACTCGCTGGTGCCTCGATATGCTCTGCTTCGCTTGTGCCTTGGTGTTTCGACACGACAGAGGCGCTTAAGATTGTTTGTTCCCAACACTCCCCTTCGCTTCTGGAGTGTCGCTGCTGGTGACGTGGCTTTGTCCAGTCAGCAGCATGCAGTACTCGAACTTCTGTTTTCCGAGCTTCTTGGTCAAGTAGTCAGCTGCCATCTCGGACGTGGGACAGCAGGATAGTTCAAGTCTCCCCTTCTCAATCTCGTCTTTCACGAAGAAATATCGCAGAGCGATATGCTTCGTTCTGTTCGCGAATCCATTTTTGTTGGCGATGCGAATTGCAGATTGGTTGTCGCAGAACAGAGTGAAGTTGGGTAACTCGGCTAACTTCGCTTCTTCCAGCAGCTCGCGAAGATAGAGTCCTTCCTTGGTGGCTGAGCAGAGTGCAATATATTCTGCTTCAGCTGACGAGAGAGCAATTAATTCCTGCTTGCTCGATTGCCAGGAGATCGGTCCGATAGGTTCGAGGCGGTAGATGTAGCCGGTGCGGGAGCGCCTGTTGTCGGAGTCGCCAGCGTGATCAGCGTCGACGTAGCCGATTAATTTAGTCGGTGTAGTTGTGTTCTTGTAGTAAGTTAGGCCGATCGTTGAGGTACTGACGAAGTAGTGGAGAGCGCGGTCGAGCTCCGCCAGGTGTTCTGCTTCAGGCTTCTTGAGGTAGGTGGCGAGCTGGCTTGCGGAGTATGAGAGGTCGGGGCGGCAGGTGACAGCTGCGAAGAGAAGGCATCCTAGCTTTCTCTGGTGTTGTATCCCGGCGGATTTGAGCAGAGAGGATCCTTCCTTGTGGTTTCCTGTCGCGTAGCGGTAGGGCGTAGAGATGGTGGTAGGTGTGAGCGCGAAGCGTTTGGCGATGGTGTCGGCGTACTTAGCGGCGTTGAGGTAGATCGCGCCTTCTTCTTCCCGAATGTTCAAGCCGAGGTACTGTGTGACAGTAGAGGAGACCGTGAGTGTGAGGTCCCTCTGTAGCTCCCCTTCGAACCAGGTGGTGATGTCGTCAGTGGAGCCGATGTAGAGTAGGTCGTCTACGTAGACGATCAGCAGAATGTAGTCGGTGTCTTTAGTGAGTCGGTACATTCCTTGGTCGTGAGGTAGTTGGCGGAATCCGATGCGAATGAGGCGAGCGTGTAGGTACTGTTGCCATAGCCGCGGAGCTTGCTTGATCCCGTAAAGTGATTTCAGCAGTTGACAGACTTGGTTAGGTTCCCCGTTGGTACCGTGTGGGAGCTCGACGAAGATTTCCACGTCGACAGGTGCGTAGAGGAATGCGTTGGCGACATCGATTTGCCGTAGCTTCCTTTTCTTCATGGCGGCGATCGCGAGGAGGATTCGAAGTGAGGTATGTCGGCTAACCGGGGCGAATGTCTCGGTGAAGTCCCGTCCGTGCTCCTGATCGAATCCACGTACAACCCAGCGTGCTTTGAACTTCTCAATTGTGCCGTCTGCTTTTGTTTTAACGCGGAAGACCCATTTCCCGGTGAGAATGGTCTTGTTCCTTGCCACGCTGATGGGGACAACTTTCCAGGTGTTCCATTCCTCCAGCGCCTTTAACTCTCTGTCCATGGCTTCACGCCATTTTTCCCTGTGTTCCCCCCCCAGAGCCTGCTGAACCGTCGCAGGCTCCTTAGGAAGAGTGTTGCCGTGGACTGCGGTGACGAGTCCGAGAATCTGCAGTCCAGTCTGTGAGTAGCGGGGAAGAGTTGCATCCTCGGGATAAGCTGCTTCATCTCCCGCTTCTGGATCAGGTATGAAATTCGGTCCTACTCGTTCTGCTTCGTTGGTGTTGACTGTCGCAGGTGTTACGTAACCGTTGTCGGCGAAGTAGTAGAAGGTTTCGGCGTTGACACTTTCGCGAGGGTTATCTTCGTCCATGGGGACGTCGACGGAGCAGAGCGGAAGGGGTCCAGCTTCTTCTGATGCGTTGGCCACATTCTGTTCGTCCCAGTCAGCTTCGTCTGCTGCCGAGGCGAAGGCTCGGTCACCACGAAAACCACCTGTGGGATCTTGGTCCTCTTGCAGGTTGGCAAGGTATGTCTGGAGCGTGAGTCGTTCGTAGAAAATGACGTCGCGTGCTGCTACTGTTTCCTTGGAGTGGACGTCAAAGATTTTCCACGCGTTGTAGTTCTTTTCGATGCCGAGGTGTAGTCCCCACTGTGCGCGTTGTGAAAATCGGCCCGCTCGTGCTGCTGGGGGTCGGTACTGTACCATGCATCCGAACACTCGTAACATTTTTGTGCTGCCCTGTTTTCCTGTCCACAGCAGATGCGGTGATGCGTTGTTCGGTAGTGATGAAGATGAGAGCAAGTTGTGCAGCATGACAGCGTGGTCCATCGCGTCAGGCCACTGGTGGTTGGGTAGCCGCATGCCACGCAACAGTTTGCGCATGCTGTTCTGCAGAGTCCTGTTCATTCTTTCTGCTACACCTTGCTGCTGATGGGCGTAGGGAAGAGAGAGGAGCTGCTTGATTCCCCTTTCCGCCAGGTACTGCTTGAATCGCTGAGAGGTGTATTCTCCTCCTCCGTCAGACTGGAAGCTTTTCAGCTTTACGCTCGACTCTCTTTCTGCTACTGGTAGCCAAGCAGCGAATGCTTCGAGGACCATGTCGCGGCTGGGTAGGTTTAGATGCCAGACGTAACGGGTGGCGGCATCGATGAAGGTGATTGTGTAGTTGTATATTACTTGTCCTGGTTCCCGATTGTACAGGATGTCGCTATACACCTTTTCGAGTGGTGCGTACGCGGGTGTGCTCGGGTTGTGATGAGGAGTGAACGGCCGATGTGGTAAGTCGGCTTCGGGGCAGGTAAGACATGTTCCTCGTGCCCGTTGAAGTTCTCTGCCGTCGAGTAGTAGTAACGAGTCCTTGTCAAGGACTCCTGCTCTTATTGTGTTGTTTAACACAGTGTTGCTTGGGTGTCCCATGCGTGCGTGCCAGATGTCTTCGGAGGCGCGGTGTCCGGATGAGCGTCGATACGCGTCGGAGTTGGAGTAGAAGCTGGCGGTGAAGTTTGCGCTTCTATGGACTTCCCGTTGAGCCGGATTCAGCTGCTGTGCGGGTGTTGGTGGTGCTTCGTCAACGAGGAGTGGTGTCGTTGTTGCTGCTACTGTTGTTGTTCCTGCTACTGCCGATGATGTCTCTGCTGCTGCCGATGATGTCTCTGCTGCTGCCGATGTTGTCTCTGCTGCTGCCGATGTTGTCTCTGCTGCTGCCGATGTTGTCTCTGCTGCTGCCGATGTTGTCTCTGCTGCTTCCGATGTTGTCTCTGTTGCTGCCGATGTTGTCTCTGCTGCTGCCGAATGTTGTATTGTTACTAACGCACGTGTTCGTTCTGCTTTAGGAATGGTATGTGAATACCAAAAGCCTTCCGGACTGAAGTCGGGGTCGAGATCCGGCGGGTGCGTCCAAGATGTGAAGGTGACGATCCCGTCACTGTCTGCAGTGCCCAGGTCTGGGACGAAATCGAGAACGAAGACATTGTTCTTCAGGACCGCCTTTCCGATGTAGAGGCCGCCCTTCCCGTGGTACAGCTTGAACTCCTGGGTGGTACTGTCGGCTTCCAGATGTATGCCTTTCGCCATCAACTGACTGACGCTCAGTAAGTTGTAGCCAAGTCCTTCTGCTATTAGGACTTTGGACATTTGCAGTATGACATTCGTCTCTCGTGACTGAAGTTGCACTACTCCTTGTCGTCGTGTGCGCAGGTTCTGATTATTGGCGACAGTGATGACGACTTCTCGTTGAAGTTGGTGCTCGCGTTGAACGAAACGTCCTGAAGAGCACATATGTTGTCCGCAGCAACTGTCCAAGAACCATGTATCCTTCCCGGACGGCTCGCTTTGAGCGATGGCGGCGTACGTCGGGTTCGGTTGAAGTGACTCGCGGCGAGGCGTGCTGTTGTCGAGTTGTTCTTCTGGTGAGTAATATGGTGGTGACTCAGTTACGCAGGAGTCACTCAGCCTTGCCATGCAGCTGACGATGTTTCTTGTTCCTTTCGCAGGTTGTCCCGTCGATGTTGTTGAGACTTGTAATGAAGTTGTCGGATTTGCTTGTGTTGAGGCGACTTGACTGCTTGAAGGGCGAAGTTGGCGTTGCGTTGACTGTTGTCGATTCGGGCAGTGCGTACGAGGATGCCCTGAAGTCTTGCAGAGGTGGCAGAACGGAGGTGCGATTTTCGGTCGATTGTTGTTGTTGTTGTGGCGCCGTTGAGTGTGAAACGCGAATTCGGGCACTGATACCTTTCTCTTGTGTCGTTCTTCTTGCAGGTCCATGTCTTGCTGCTCGGCGTGGATTTCGGCGCAAAGTGCTGCTTCAGAAATTTTCCCGTGGGCTCGTAGTATGGCGCGAGTGGAGCGCCAGTGAGGACCAAGACCGCCGATGACAACCGTGACGAAGGCGTCCTCTGAAATCGATCCTCCACATCGAAGAAGCTTGTCGCGCAGCTCGCGGCAGCGACTGATATACGCCATTCCCTTCTCGCCTGGTTTCATTTCGATTGTTGTCAGCTGCGCCATTAACCGACTTTGGTTTACGCTGTCTGTTGCTTGATACAGGCTCTTCAAGTGATTGTACGCGAGCTCCGCGGAGTTGCCGTAGCCTCGGTAAGACCGTATGTTTTGTTGTTGAGTTGGAGTGATGTTCCTCAGTAGTATCGTGTACGCCATCATCGATTGATAGGTGTACTGCTGCTTCTCATACTGTGTGCCGTTTGTTGGGTATGGCAGGGACCCGTCGAAGAAGCCAAGGATTTGCGCTCCTTCCATCATCAGCTCGAATTCGAACGACCAGGTAAAGAAATCCTTCCCGTCGAAGGGTTTTGTCATTTGCAGTTTTAGAACGTGCGCGAACTGCGACTGAACTTGTAGTGCGTCCAGCGTTCTCTCTTGTCCCGGTGCAGGTTGTGGTTGTGGCATGAAGCTGACGGAGCCGCGCTGGGGCTCGTACGGAGCGAAGGTAGGTTGCTGTTGTTGATTCCCGCGTGCGTAGGATGAGCCATCGAGACTCATGGGCGTCACGTTGTTGTTGTTGTTGCTGTTGTTTGATTGCGCAGGTGCTCCTTGCTGATGCTGCTCGTAGAAGGACATGAAGGAGAAGAACTTCTCCATCATGCTTGGATCGAAGCCCGCGCCTTGGTTTGCGGGTGTTTCAGTAGACCGAGCTGCCGGTCTCGTTGTTGTGCCTTCCTCTGTCTGTAGGCCAGAGGCAGGAGGTGGAGTAGGAGTAGTACCAGGAGAGCCGTTGGAGGAGCTCCTCTCCTTTCTGGTAGACATGTCTCTTGGTGTATTAGGTGTTAAGGAGAAATAATTTTAACCCTAACCAGCTCTCATACCATGTTGGGCTGAGTGCCCCTTAGGATCTTTGGTAGGGTTAAACTCTGGGTAGAGTGATGTAGTAGCGGAAGCGTTTAAATGAAGTCCTTGGAACCACCTTGCGCTGGTATGTCAGGGCAAAGTAAGTTGATTAAAACAAGCAAGTACAAAGGTTTATATAAGAGTACAAAGAATACGAAGAGATATAATTAAACTGTTTTACTGTTGCGGTTCGATACAGTGCGACTCGGGCAACTGCTCAATGTCGAGTCAGTTGTGTGTCCTTGCTGTCGCGCTGCATTTGTCAAGTCAAAGGTCGCTGACCTTTGACTTTCGCGTAACCTCCAGCGGTTACTTCAACCTCCGAGGGTTGACTCGCTGGTGCCTCGATATGCTCTGCTTCGCTTGTGCCTTGGTGTTTCGACACGACAGAGGCGCTTAAGATTGTTTGTTCCCAACATGTGGTACCGTATTACCCCGGATAGTAGCGCATATGCGCTTATAATAAAATTGTTTTTTTTAAGGGGGGCGCTTTTAATTGAGTTTCGTGTGGAAATAACGAGGAATGATTGACAAGAAAATGAGATGGGTACAAATATGTAACCCTAGGAAACTGTACCCCATACTGTCTACCCCACTACAGCCTAGAAAGACTATAGCATGAATGTTTGACACACCCCCATAGGCAAAGTGGGGGAGAACAAGGGGTCACAAGACCAGTCAAACAAAACACAGCAAGCTCAGGGTGGATCACAATATCACCACACATTCCGAGCACAAGTTCAAGGCCACAAGGCCAGTTCACATGCAAGATTATATATAAAGGTAAACAAGCAAGCGCAAGTAAAGATAGATCACTGTACAAGCAAGGTCAAGAAGTGAGCAAGTGAGGCCAAGTAGGCACAAGATCTAGCATCGTACAAAAGCGCTGATGATCACAAGGCTGAAGTGCCTTGGTAAAGATATCAGCAGTGTTGGCCCGAGAGGCCACGTAAGCAAGTCGCAGCTGACCACGCTGCTGCAGCTCATGAGCAAGGAAGTAGCGAAGAGCAATGTGCTTCGTTCTGTGCTCCAGTCTGTGCTCCCGACACAAGGCCAGCATGGCCTTGTTGTCTACGTACAGAACTGGAGGAGAACGAGGCGGCTCTCCTAGGTCAGTCAGCAGGTAGGTGAGCCAGCGTAACTCCTGTGCAGCCATGGCCCCTGCGTAGATCTCAGCCTCACAGCTGGAGCCGAGAACAGAAGACGAGCGGGTAGACCGCCACGAAACAGAGCCGGAACCAAGGCTGAAGGTGTAACCCTGTGACGACCGCTGCGTAGCCTGGTCGTCAGCTCAAGAAGCGTCTGCGTGACCAGTGAGGACCACTGGACTGCGCCCTCCAAGCACGAGCCCCATGCCCGACGTACTGCACAAGTAGCGCAACACCCTCTTCGCTGCAGCCATGTGCTCTGGTCGGTGTCTCCCAGGAGCAACATAGCGTGCCAAGATGCTAAGAGGGTATGCAAGGTCAGGTGGAGTGCAGGTCATCTGGTACATGAGGCAGCCAACAAGCTCTGGGTACGGGCCACTCGGCTCTACGGACTCATCCGAAGGCAGAGCTGAGAGCGAGTGGCGAGTAGACAGAGGAGTGGCCTGAGGCGAAGAGTACGTGAAGTCGAAGCGCTAAAGGACCTGCTGCACCATGTGTGACTGAGTCAGAGTAATGGTGCACCGTGCTCTGTCCCGGGTGATCTGCAAGCCAAGGTAGCTGCGCAGTTCACCCAGGTCTGTGCACGTGTGTCTCTTCTGCAGCTCGGACTTCACGTGGGCGAGTCCAGCAGTGTCAGCAGTAGCAAAGACCATGTCGTCGACGTACACGAGGATGTAGAACGGCGGCAAAGAAGTGTCGGTGCGTAGAAACAGCGACGGGTCGGCAGTAGAAGGAGCAAACCCAAGAGCCGCAAGTGTAGTCCTCGGTGTGTCGTGCCACACACGGGGGGCCTGGCGGAGACCGTAGACTGGCCGCCGGAGGCTCCACTGGGTACCAGGAGGAAACGACCCAGTGAAGCCAGGTGGGCGGCGCAGCCAGATCTCCTCGTGCAGGCTGCCCTGTAGGAAAGCAGTGCTGAAGTCAAGAGAGTGAAGCTCGTAGTCGCGCTGAGCGGCTATATGCAGCAGCACCCGAAGAGTGGTCATCTTCGGGGTGGGAGAGAAGGTCTGAAAGTAGTCAACTCCCTGCCGCTGCCTGAAGCCTCGAGCCACGTAACGTGCCTTGAAGACAGGCGGAGAACCCGGCGGCCGCTTCACCCTGAAAATCCACATGCCACTGACGATGTTCGCCCCAGATGGGGGAACCTCGTCAACGTAGGTGCCTGTGGACTTCTAGGAAGCCATCTCTGCGTCCATGGCTGACTGCCACTGAGAGGAGTAGGGACCCTCGATCGCCTCTGCGTAAGAGCGCGGAGTCGGGATGTCTGGTGCATCCGGGTCTCCCTCAGGGGCAAATAGCATGGACACGAGATGAGGCAAAGCAGCAGCAAAACACTGGAACTCCCGACGGACGGAGGACAGACGGACTCAGACCCAGCAATAAGACTAGCGGCGTAGTCTAGACGACAGTGAGCAGCGAAGTCGACAAGCTCAGCAACTAAGGCAGACGCAGCAGTGGACTCAAAGGAAGGGTCAGTGTTAGCAGTAGCCAAGAGACGCGTGACAGTAGGACTGGCAGCACGAAGAGAGTCAGACTCCGGGTCAGCAAGAGCAGAAAGAGAGGACTCTGGGGGAGACGGCAAAGGGACACGCAGTAGAGCAGTGGAAGGACGCAGAGCCATCTGGTGTGTGCCCGGGACTGCAGGAGGACACTGGCGTGGAACACGACGACTAGTGCGAGCAGCACGAATAGGCGACGCAGGACGAGACGCAGGCTCACGACGCTCAGCAAGACCTCTAGTAGGACCAGTGTAGGGAGGAGGAGCAGGCAGTGGGGAGGCGGGCTGTAACTGTGACTCGGACTGGACAGGCAGTGGACACTCTAAGGAAGGAGCAGGACCAGTAGAGGGCGGAAGACCAAGAACCTGCTCAAGGAGCAGAACGAAGTACGGCCGTGGCCGCGCAGCACCTCCACAACCAGCAGGGACAGGACCAGCACCCCCAGGGCCGGACACGACTCCAGCAGCTCCACCAGCTCCAGGAGCAGCTACTCCAGCACCCACAGGAGCATCGGCAACAGCAGCACCTCCAGCTCCAGCAACTCCAGCAGCTCCAGCTCCAGTAGGAACACCGGAAGACCCAACAGCCCCAGCTCCAGCACCTCCAGTAGCACCTACTCCAGCAACACTGCCAGCTCCAGCACCGCCAGCAGCTCCAGCACCTGGAGCACCCCCAGGCCCAGCAGCTCTAGTACCTCCAGTACGAGCACCTCCGGGACCCGTGGCGTCAGCACCCTCAGTAGCAGTAGAACCTCCAGCTCCAGTGGCACCTCCAGCTCCAGCAGCACGACTCCAGCGCCGAGCAAACCACTCGCGCAGCTCCTGTGGAGAGGGTAGCTCCCGCCGGAACGAACCACCCGAAGGAACTCCAGACCCAGTACCGCCACACTCCACACAAGCAGGCCCAGCACCCGCAGGCTCCGCACCCCCAGTCGCATCACCCCCAAGCTCAGCACCCCCAGACTCAGCACCCCCAGGCTCAGCACCCCCAGACTCTGCACCCGCAGGCTCAGCACCCCCAGCAGCACCAGAGTCAACAGCTACCTCGACAGGCTCGACTGCGTCTACCTGGGACACACCTGAGGGGGCAGGACCCTGAGGGGGAAGGGGGTCTACGGGGGAGGACCTGGCGCGAGGAAGAGCGGCGGGGGGGGGGGGGGGGGGGGGCAGTGCGGTAGGGGAAGAGACGGTAGTAGGGAACCGACTCGTCAAACGTGACGTCCTGGGAGGACAGAACACGACGCGAGGTGGGGTGGTAAAACTGCCAACCAGGCGTGTCAGGGGGGAAGCCAAGGAAGACGCAAGGGACAGCGCGGGGGGACAGCTTGTCCGCAGACAAGTCGCGGACAAATGCCCGAGATCCCCAGACACGGAACGCAGACGCATCGCCAACCTTCCCCATCCACCGCAAAGTAGGGGAGGTCTCCGGCAAGGAGACCCGGGGCTGAAGGTTGATCTGCTGCGCCGCGTACTGAACCGCGAACGGCCACAGAAAATGGGGAGCAGCCGCATGGATCATGGACGTACGAGCGACGTCCATGACCATGCCAATGCGGCGCTCAGCAATCCCATTTTGCTGTGGAGAGGCCGGAAGCGTGAACGTCTGGCGGATGCCCCTCGCACGGCAGAAGGCTCGTAGAAGGTCGGAGGAAAACTCTCCACCTCTGTCGGAGTGCAGACGCAGAACAGGAAAGTCCGAGCCAAAACTCCTCCTGAGCTGGAGACGAGCAGCGCGGATCCAGTCGATCAACACCCCAGTGACCTCACCCTTGGTGCGCAAGGGGAAGACTGCGGTGTAACGAGAGTAGTCGTCAACCACCAAGAGGAAGTAACACTCGTGACCCTGTCCACGGACGCGGGCTGGGCCCCACACGTCCATGTATAGAGTCTGCAGCGGAGCCTCTGTCGGCGGAAACTCAGAGGAGTGAGGAGCGGCGCGCTGCCGCCCCTCGACGCAGGGAACGCAGGTGGGGGCAGGCCCCGGAGGAAGGGGAGGGAGGGACCGGGGGAGACCAGAGACAAGGTAACGGGAGGCCATGCCTCGGAGACGAGGCAGGGAGGGGTGACCAAGGCGGTGGTGCCAGAGGAGAGTCTGGTGAGACAGGAGACGACACGAGCAGGGGGCAGACTCAGGACCAGACCTGGACGCTGCAGCAAACACCTGACCCGACGCAGCCACCTGACCAGACGTAGCAACCGGAGGAGACTCACTAGTCAGTGTGTACAGGCTCGACCCCGGCTGTCGGGTAAACGTGGCCAAGTGTCGGCCCGTCCGAGCACACGTACAGTGGGTCACTCGCTGACTCGCAGGAGTGAACTGGTCAACCCCTCCATCCTGTAGGTCAGCACCACTCACCAGGTTCGTAGAGAACAAGGGGAGGTAAAGACCCGACAGGGTGCCAGAAGGGGCAGCCGGACACGGTAAGACAGTGGAGAAGTGGGCAAGGACAGGGCCCCCAGAGGGGTCTGCCAGTGAGACTGCAACCGGCCGACGAAGCGGCGTGAGTGTGGTGCGGTCTCGAAAGAAGGAGCGGGAAGCACCCGAGTCGAGGGTGAAAGTGTGCAAGGCCTGAGTCGACGTGGTACCTGAGAGAGCAGACTCACCAGCACCTGGGGCAGCAGACTCACTAGCACCTAGAGCAGCAGCCTCACCAGCACCTAGAGCAGCAGCCTCACCAGCACCTAGAGCAGCAGCCTCAATGCCCGGGTCAGGCGGAACACACAGGTAACAGTCACCCTCATCACTAGTAGACACAACATACATGGCAGCAAGAATAGCATCATAGTCCAGATCAAAGATAGCAACCCCCGACCTAAGCAGCTCGCCCCAGCGGGGGATCTCAGTGGCGTCAGGGAACTGGAGACGCCAGGCGTCCGTCAGGCGGCTGAAGCAGCGCTGGGTGGTGTGCGGACCACCGCACGGCTCACCAGTGCGGTCGCCGGTACGCAGGACGTAGGCACAAGGACCAGCACCCCCACCCCGCTGACGCGCAGCGTACCACTCACGAAGCTGCTAGGGGGGCGGGTCTCGCGAGTGCGCTGCTGCTGCTTGCGCTGACCACCACCAAAGCCACCCCGCTGTGCACAGCCACCCCGACCCGCTCCACCGCTGCCGCCGCCACCTCCACCGCCGCCGCTACCTCCTCCTCCCCCGCTCCCACCGCCACCGCCGCCGCCGCCTCCGCCTCCACCGCCGCCACCGAAGCCCCCACCCCCGCCACCACTCCCACCGCCACCGCCACCCCCTCCGCCGCCTCCACCACCACCTCCACCGCCCCCGCCAGCTCCTCCAGCGCCCTCGCCCCCCCTGCCCTTGCCGGTGCGGCGTCTCCCGCTAGGGGCAGACGCAGCGCCGACCGACTCGGTGCCAACGAAGTCGACGGCAGCAGCAGAGGCAACAGAGGGCGAATGGGGGGAGGGGGAGCACCCCTCAAAGAAGGGGGAACGAGGGTCACCACGAGAGGCTCCTACAGCAACTATACACTTCTCAGCTGCCAGGAGGCGCTCCTCGAGGAGGTCAACGGTGAGTGTGGTGGGGCAAACTGAGAGAAAGTGGTCCCTGACCGAGCGAAGGGAGTCAGGGAGCCGGGTGACTAGGTAGTAGAGGGTGATGTACATGGGGGGGGGGGTTCTTGGCGCAGAACTCAGCAGGAAGCGCAGCGCGGTAGCGGGCGTCACTAGTGCGAAGGTGCGTAATGAGGTCAGCGACTGTGGGAAAGGCGGCTAGGTCAGGGAACAGGTACGGCAGCATGAGGCGGCTAAGAGCAGCAGTGGTAGGGGAAGAGTAGCGTGCAATGACAGCGTCGTACAAGGTCTTAGCACTCTTGTACTGACTAAAGTGCGCGCGCTCAGAGGACGGCAAGTGACTACGCACAGCAAGACGGGCGGCAGCATCGCGTGTGGCCCCAATGTGAGCGAACAGTTCTGTCAGCATCAGCAGCAGGGGCAGTAGAGGCGCCAGACGTGAGATCGAACAGTGAGAGACCGTCTTTCCTATCGCACTGTAGGAAATGCAGCAGATCATCGACCCAGACCTCAAAGTCGACAGCCCGACCCTCAGCATCAAAGACGAGGACGCTAGGGGTAGCCATGACAGCAGTAGTAGCAGGCTAGGGGCAGTAGCAGCAGGGTAGGGGCAGCAGCAGCAGGCTAGGAGCAGTGCAGTCGCAGAGGCGCGGCTCGGCGGTGCTCTTACCAGGACGGGTGGGTAGAGTGCCGTAAGTAGCGGGGCAGGGCCGAGGCGCGCCGGCAGGGACAGGGCCGCGACAGCTGCAGCTGCTCCTGCTGCAGGCTGCGGCGGCTGCGGCGGCCTCGGTAGCAACGGGGGGGGGGCAGCTGTCACTGCAGCGACGGCGGTTGCTCCAGGCGGTGATGGCGGCGGCCGCGACTCCGGCAGCTGCGGCGGCGGCTGCTGCTGTCAGCGGCGGCGGCGGCTGCTGCTGGCACTGCACCGGCGGCAGCGGCTCCTGCTGTCGGCGGCGGTGACGGCTGCTGTAGGCGGCGGCTGCTGCTGTTCGCGGAGGAGCCGAGAAGGGGCCGCTACGGGCGACGAAGGGGCCACGAAGGGCCGTGGAGGGGCTGCGAAGGGCGGTGACGGGGCCGAGACGGGACCGTGAGGGGGCCGCGAAGGGCGGCGACGGGGCCGAGAAGGGGCCGCGAAGGGCGGCGACGGGGCCGTGAGGGGCTGTGAAGGGCGGCGACGGGGCCGTGAGGGGCCGCGAAGGGCGGCGGCGGGGCCATGAGGGGCCGCGAAGGGCGGCGACGGGGCCGTGAAGGGCCGCGAAGAGCGGCGACGGGGCCGTGAGGGGCCGCAAAGGGCGGCGACGGGGCCGAGAAGGGGGGCGACGGGGCCGCGAAGGGCAGCGACAAGGCCGCGAAGGGGCCGCGAGGGGCCACGAAGGGGCCGCGAGGGGCCGGAAGGGGCCGCGAGGGGCCGGAAGGGGCCGCGAAGGGCCGTGAGAGGGGGAGGGCCGCGAGGGGCCGCGAAGGGGCCGCGAGGGGCCGTGAGAGGGGCCTCTACGGGGCCGTAGGAGAGCGCGACGGGCCGCTAAGGGCAGGGGACGCGACGGGAGGGTAGGTGCACGGGACGGGACTCGGGCAGGGGCGGAGCGCGTTCCGGGCAGGAAAAAAAAAAATCGATTTTAGGTGGGCCCTAGGAAGCGTTCCCACTAGGGAACCTGCTCTATACCATGTGAAAGAACAAGGAGTGGATGAACTAGAAATGAGATGGATACAAATGTGAAACCCTAGAGTGTTGTACCCCTTAGTGTCTACCCCACTGTAGCCTACAGTGACTAAGTAATATAAGTCTGACAGATGAGGTGGCACGCGTGCAAATTGACGTGCGAAAAAACTATGTGCAGCGTCAGAGATTCACCCTCACGCGATTCAAATTCAGGACGCTATAAAATGTCGACTCGATTGAACTTACGAGACGAAAATATACAATTTGATGCGTTTAAAACCGAAATGCAAAATAGTGAACCCAAACCCAACTTGAAAGAGCGCAGGGACGAGTTTGCCGGGCGAAACAAATTTTGGACCGGACTGACAAGTTTGTACCGTTTCAAAAGCTGCGGACGTGCAAATCCAACACCTTTGATTGGTTCCCGCCAAAAGAAAAACATTCTGGGGATGTGTGGCGTCGCATTTCTCATTTCTCATTTCGCACGACAATTGCATAGGCGATCGTTTCAGTCTATCCAAGCGATTTGGGCCAAGCTCATGTTTCAAGTTGGGATGGGGTAAACTACTACCATTTTTGCGTCGCTAGTTATACGGTAAGTAGCTAGGTTGGGCATAGGCTATGTCTGGACTGTTGCCCTCGTTATCTCGACATGTATTAACCAGAATGTCCGTCCCGTCGCTCACGTGATCTCCTCTCGCCTCCCTTACCCACGCGATCACTTCTCCTTCCCCATAGCCCTCCTGTTCGGCCGTCCAGTCACCCGCCCATTCTGCCGTCCCGTCGTCCTCCCGTTCCGTTCCGTCGTCGTCGCCCTTCCATGGCCCATACCGTCGCCCCTCCCGTTCATCCATCCCGTCGCCCATCCCGTAGCGCATCCTCTCTCCCATCCTGTCGTTCCCCTCGTCGCCCTCGCCAACGCCCCGAAACTCCCTCCCGTCGCCCTTCCTCTCTCCCATCCCGTCACTCCCCTCGTCGCCCTCGCCAACGCCTCGAAACTCCCTCCCGTAGCGCGTCCTCTCTCCCATCTCGTCGCTCCCCTCGTCGCCCTCGCCAACGCCCCGAAACTCCCTCCCGTAGCGCATCCTCTCTCCCATCCCGTCGCTCCCCTCGTCGCCCTCGCCAACGCCCCGAAACTCCCTCCCCTCGCGCATCCTCTCTCTCATCCCGTCGCTCCCCTCGTCGCCCTCGCCAACGCCCCGAAACTCCCTCCCGTCGCGCATCCTCTCTCCCATCCCGTCGCTCCCCTCGTCGCCCTCGCCAACGCCCCGAAACTCCCTCCCGTCGCCCTTCCTCTCTCTCATCCCGTCGCTCCCCTCGTCGCCCTCGCCAACGCCCCGAAACTCCCTCCCCTCGCCCTTCCTCTCTCTCCGTCACCCTTGCTCTCTCTTCGTCGCCCTTGCTCTCTCTCCGTCGCCCTTGCTCTCTCTCCGTCGCCCTTGCTCTCTCTCCGTCGCCCTTTCTCTCTCCCGTCGCCCGTTCTCTCTCCCGTTGCCCTTTCTCTCTCCCGTTGCCCGTTCTCTCTCCCGTTGCCCTTTCTCTCTCCCGTTGCCCGTTCTCTCTCCCGTTGCCCTTGCTCTCTCCCGTTTCCTATCCTCTCTCCCCTCCTCTCACGTTGCCCTCGATGCAGTCCTCGCCTTTCCTCTCTCCCCTCCCATCACCCACCTCGGCGCTTTCGCGTTCGCCCCGAAATGCCTGCAAGTCGCCCTTTGTTTCTCCCCTCCCATCTCCCAACACCCTACCATTCCGCAATTTTCGCTCAATCAGCGCTCTCCGTGCGCTCTCGTTTCCTTCTACCTATTCTTTTTTATCTCTAACCCGAAACTCTCTGTTTTTTCCCGCAGTTCTGCTTTTCCTATGCTGTTTTTGCCGCCCCAGCAGGCACATGTCTAAGGCGTTTGTTGTGTGTGAATTGAACATGCAACACTTTGTCGAAACAGTAGGCAGAATCGAGAAACAGGAAAGAGGGGTTTTCACTAGCATGCAGTTGAGTACATATAGCAAACCCTAATTTGGGCTGTACTCGCTATAGAGTACCCCATTGCAGGCTACACAAACATCACATTCTGACACACCCCTATAGTCAAAGTGGGGTACAATCAACACAACAAGCAGGCAGAGCAGTAGTTCACAATTATAAGCAGAGCTAGAGACTATCACAGAGAGGAAGTGAGGAGGAGGAGAAACTGTGGGGGCGAGAAGATGCGAGACGACGGCTGAAGCTGCAGACACAGGGGCAACAGGAGTGCGCAGCACTGTCGCTACCAGGCTAAACCCGGACTACACGGCGACAGGCGCAGCTGGCTCGCTGTGCTCCCACGAGTGCTCACACTGTGGCTACCGGGCGCAGAGCCCCGGACTACTCAGGCCACAGGGGGTCGTGGCTCTCTGGACTACGAGGAGTGCTCACACTGTGGCTACCGGGCGCAGAGCCCCGGACTACTCAAGCCACAGGGGGTCGTGGCTCTCTAGACTTCAGGCGCTGCGGACGACAAGTCGGCTACCTCCGGTCAACCTCCCCCAGCTGTCCCACACCCCTTTCACACACTCCCTGCTGAACCACTAGCACCGCTCACACGCCACCCCCCTCGTACCACTCCGACGGCTCCAACACATCCACCCCCCTCAGCGGCAGCTGCAGCAGTGGGAGACGGAGGATGAGGAGGAGCAGAGGACGGCTCACACACACGGCACCCCCATACTCTCCACCCCCAAACCCTAACACAGGAGCGCGGGCAGCAGCGGGGGTGGGGCGCGGTCAGAAGCTCGGGACGAACCGCACGAGGGCTGCCCGGGCCGCGCGCGGGCCTGGCGCAGCCTGTACGGGCCGCGCGCGGGCTGTACGGGCCGCGCGCGGGCCTGGCGCAGGTCGCGCGGGCCGCGTGGGGCGACGGGGGGCGACGCGACGGTCGACAGGGGGCGACGCGCTGTTCGACGGGGCAGAAAACCGCCGCGCGCCCCGAGCGCGCGGCGGGAAGAATAATCGCTGCGCGCCCGGAGCGCGCGGCAGGCAGGAAACAGCACGCGCCCGGGGCGCGCTACAGGCAGTAGAGCAGCGGAAGCATCGGGTGGGGCCCACCCACAGGATCGACCTAGGAGGGTCGACCTGCTCTGATAACATGTCGAAACAGTAGGCAGAATCGAGAAACAGGAAAGAGGGGTTTTCACTAGCATGCAGTTGAGTACATATAGCAAACCCTAATTCGGGCTGTACTCGCTATAGAGTACCCCACTGCAGGCTACACAAACATCACATTCTGACACACTTGTTGAAATCGGCCCCCTCGTGTGATTGGGATTTGCACGTCGCCAACTTGCGACACATGCTTGCGACGTTTTTTGTAAAAAAATGTGTGAAGACTTGAACGCGTCTGAAAAACAAAACAGAACAAAACATCGACCGTCATAACCTTTACAAAGTTAGTTTGAGTTTTCAAGTGGACCCACTAGAAGGGGGGGGGGGTCACTATTTTAGCTGCTGGTATTTCTGTATTTGTCATTATATAAGCGCCAGCGGCGCTCGGCCGATATTCAATTAAAAGCACCCCCCCCCCCCTTCCCCCCAAAACTGATTTTATTATAAGCGCATATGCGCTACTATCCAGGGTAATACGGTATGTCAAAGGGAGGGATACAACCAAAGTGTCGAGAAAGTTTTGTACCCGCTAGCATCCAACTCACTGTAGCATATCTAAATCTACAAACATAGTTTGACACACCCCCATAGGCTAAGTGAGGGGCATCAAAACAGGTATGTGACATGCACGTGGTCACAAGACCATTCAATTGAAGAAGAGAAACACAGCAAGCTCAGGGTGGATCACGAAGTCACCACACATATTGAGCACAAATAGAGGCCACAAGGCCAGTTCAAGAGTTCGCAAACTTATATAGAAGTACAGCAAGCAACAATAGACAAGAATACTGTAGCCAAGAGCCTACGTCAACAAGGCCTAACTGCAAACAGAACCTGTGGTGGTCACCAGGCGGAAGGGCCTTGGTGAAGATGTCTGCAGTGTTGGCCTCTGAGGCCACAAATTCCAAGCGTGCCTGGCCATGTCACTTCAACTCCCGCAGGAGAAAGTACCTGACGTCGATGTGCTTCACTCTGCTCTCCAGTCGAGGCTCTCGACACAGGAGGATCATGGCCTTGTTGTCAGCGAACAAGGTCGGTACAGAGCTCGGCCGCTCACCAAGGTCGGTGAGCAAGAAAGTCAACCAGCGAAGCTCCTGCGCAGCCATGGCACCGGCGTAAATCTCTGCCTCAGCACTAGACGAAGCCACAGAAGACGACCGAGTAGACCTCCACGACACAGATCCAGCGCCCAAGCTGAAGCAGTAGCCCTGAGTGGACCTCTGTGTCTCCACGTCGTCGGCGTAGGAAGAGTCGCAGTGACCAGTCAATACAATTGCCTGTGTCCCTCCAAGCACAATTCCCATGCCTGATGTAGTCGCCAGGTACTTCGCCACCCTCACAGCAGCTGTCCAGTGAACAGAACGGTGTCTCCTAGTCGCAACAAAGCGAGAGAGGACGCTGAGAGGAAAAGCAAGGTCCGGACGAGTACAAGTCATCAGGTGCATGAGGCAGCCCACAAGCTCTGCGTAGGGACCACTAGACTCAAAAGGCTCGTCGAGAAAAGGGCCGGTGAGTCTGTGGTCAACGGCAAGAGGAGTGGGCTGTGTGGTGGAGTGCTGAAGCCCGAACCGCTGAAGGACCTGCCGCACCATGTGTGACTGTGTGAGTGTGATGGTGCGAGCGGCTCTGTCCCTGGTGATCTGCAAGCCAAGGTAGCGGTGCAGCTCACCAAGGTCAGTGCACGTGTGTCTCTTCTGCAGTTCGGACTTCACCTCAGCCAGTGCATACCTGTCTGCTGTAGCAAAGACCAAGTCGTCGACGTAGACGAGGACGAAGAAGGGTGTGGGCCCAGAACAAACGAACAGCGACGGGTCAGCAGACGAAGGACGAAACCCGAGGGCAGCAAGAGTAGTGCGCAGCGTGTCTTGCCACTCACGGGGCGCCTGGCGGAGACCGTAGACTAGTCGCCTCAGGCTCCACTGGGTCCCAGGCGGGAAAGTGCCAGTGAAGCCAGGAGGACGACGCAACCAGATCTCCTCGTGCAGGCTGCCCTGGAGAAAGGCGGTGGAGAAGTCGAGGGAGTGCAGCTCGTAGTCTCGCTGTGCTGCGACGTGTAGTAACACCCGAAGAGTCGTCATCTTCGCGGTCGGAGCGAAGGTTTGGAAGAAGTCAACTCCCTCGAGCTGACTGAAACCTTTAGCCACGTAGCGCGCCTTGAACACAGGCGGCGATCCAGGCGGCCGCTTCACCTTGAAAATCCACATGCCGTTGACTACGTTCCGCCCAGGTGGGGGAACTGCGTCGACGTAAGTGCCTGTGGATCTCCAAGACGCCATCTCTGACTCCATGGCCGCTATTCACTGAGAAGCCCACTGCCCTGACACTACCTCACGGTACGTGCGAGGAGTTGGTATGTCAAGGGCGTCGGGGTCTCCCTCAGGAGCTAGCAGCATGGCACAGAGATGGGGAGAAGCGGCCGCCAAGAACTCCAGCTCAAACTGCCTGTCCTCTAGGACGTCACAGCCAAGGGCAGACTCACCCCCGGCGGACAGAGGACGGGCAGCTACCACACGGGTGGCGTAGTCAAGGCGACGGGTGGAAGCAAAGTCAGCAACAGCGGCAGTAAGAGCCGAGACAGGCGACGGAGGGGCACGAGGGTCCGTGACTAGAGAGGCGAGAACACGAGTGACAACAGGACGGGTGGCACGGCAGTAGTCAGTGATAGGGGTAGACGTGGAGGCTGTAAAAGACGACTCAGGAGGTGACAGGAGAACAGACTGAGGTGGAGAACGACGAGGACTCGAACGAAGCAAGACAGTGTGGAGGTCGTAAAAATGAGACGAGGGACGTGCACGGGCGGGACAACGCACTGTCCAGTCGTGCGGGACAACAGGAGGAGACAACTGTGACAGAGGAGGAGAGAAGACAGCTGGAGAAGATTCCGGGGCGGGGAACATAGGACCGTAAACAGGGGCAGACAGTGAGCGGTCTGGAGGAGAGCAAGGAACTCTAAGGGCCCGAAGGCCACTCACAGGTGAAAACAACGGCTACAATGGCGGCGCCTGCTGCGACTGCTGCGGCAGCACCAGCTGCTGCTGCTGCTGCAGCTCCTGCTGCTGCCGCTCCAGCCCCAGCCTCTCGTGCTCCAACCGCTCCCGCTCCTCGTGCTCCAGCTGACGAAGCCTCTGGAAACTCGTCCGGTAGCGGTGTGGAGGTGGGGTAGGCGCCACAGTAGCAGTGCCTCCAGCTCCAGTCTCCTCTAGGGTGTTCGCACCTCCAGCTCCAGCACCCCTAGAACTAATGTCCCCAGGACGAGCACCCCCAGAACTAGCACCGCCAGTGCCAGTAGCCCCAGCTCCAGCACCCTCAGAACTAGTACCTCCAGCGCCAACACCCTCAGCTCCACCACCCTCAGAACTAGCACCCCCAGCGTCCGTGCCCCCACCAGCACCCCTGGAACTAGCACCTCCAGCGCTAGCACCTCCTGCTCCAGCACCCCCGGAGTCCACAGTAACCTGTCGCGGAAGTGCCGAAGGCTGCTGAGAGGACTGTGAGGACGACTGCGGAGAGGCTACCTGACGCGCGACCGAGGGTAGAGGGGTAGCGTGGGACACACCTGACGGGGCAGGACCAGGAAGGGGCGGGGGTACCAGAGGAGCAGGAGCAGGAGGAGGAGAGGGGCCCAGAAAAAAGGGGAGGGGGAGAACCGGGAGACCTCGATAGTGGTTCCGGGTGTAGTAGGACACAGACTCGCTAAACCGGACGTCACGAAAGTCAAGGAACCGGTGGAGGGACGGGTGGTAAAAGGTGTAGTCAGAGGAGTCCACCAGGAAACCAAGGAAGACACATTGGATGGCGCGAGCCGTGAGCTTGTCCACAGAGGTGTCGCGGACAAGCGCAAGGTAGTTCCAGACTCGAAATTCCGAAGCAACACCAGGGGACACCAAAGACTGGTCAGTGAAGCCCCTGGTCGAGAGACACGAGGCCAAAGGTTCAGCTGGTGGGCGGCGTAGCGAACCGCGTAGGGCCACAGAAAATGGGGCGCATGGGCATGGATCATGGAGGTACGGGCAATCTCCATGACCAAGCCTATGCGGCACTCAGCAACCCCATTCTGCTGTGGGGATTCTGGAAGCGTCCAGGACTGGGTGATGCCCTGCTCGCTACAGAACCCACGAAGAATGCCGGAGCGAAACTCGCCCCCACGGTCGTAGTGAAGTCAACTAACACGACTGCCACGTGTGGTCTCGGTAGCCAGCAACCACCGGATCAGCGTAGAAGTCATGTCGGACTTCTTCGCCAAAGGAAACACGGTGGTGTAGCGGGAGTAGTCATAAACGACCACTAGTAAAAAGCTCTCCCTCTCGGGCCCAGGGCGAGGGGCGGGGCCCCAGACGTCCAAGTGGAGAGTCTGGAAAGGTGCAGTGGCCGGACGAAGGGAGGAGGAGTGAGGAGTGGCGCGCAGCCGAACCTCGACGCAAGGAGTGCACAACGGCGCTGGCGAAGGAGGGAGCGACGCAAAGACACGCGGGAGACCTGAGATAAGACGCTGGCTAGCCATGCTGCGGAGGCGTGGGAGAGACGGGTGACCAAGACGGTGGTGCCACAAGACTGTCGGGTGAGACAGTGACCGACAAGAGCAAGACGCAGCAACCAGACCGGACACAGCCACCTGGCCGGACACCGCAACCTGAGGGGACGCAACAACCTGAGGGGACGCAGCTACCTGGGAGCAGTGTGCAGAACGTGGAGACCGGAGCGGGACTCTCTGGTAAATGTGGCAAGAACGACATCGGTGGCAGCGTCCGTGCAGACTGCAGTCCTCCCGCCTCCCAGAAAGGTAACTGTGATCCCCCTATCCTGGAGGTATCCAACACCCACCAAGTTCCGAGTGAACGAGGGGATGTGGAGACCTCTAAGGACACAAGAGGGGACAACCGGGCAGGGGAGGGTGGTAGAGCTGCGTGCAACCGCTGGTCCTGAAGTAGGATCAGCCAGTGCAACCGGAACCGAAGCAAGAAGCGGTGTGAGAGTCGTGTGGTCGCAAAAGAAGCACTGCGACGCGCCAGAGTCCAGCGTGAAGGACAGCGACGCCTCAGCCGTAGGTGCACCTGGGCTGGTAGCTGCACAAGCACCTAGTGCGGAAACACAAGCACCTAGACTAGAGAGACAAAGATCTGTCAGAAGTAGTAGGAGTACGGCCTAGGCTTAGTAGCCTAGGCCACAGTAGGACTAGTAACGAGGAGCCAAGTACGAGCTAGGAATGTGTGTAGGAACAGAATTGAGAAGGAATGATTGAACTAGCAAGCAGCAGGATACAAATAGCAAACCCTAAGGGGCTGTACTCACTATAGAGTACCCCACTGCAGGCTACACAAACAACATATTCTGACACACCCCCATAGCCAAAGTGGGGTGTAATCAGCACAATGAGCAGTCATAGCAATAGTTCATAATTATCAGCAAAGCTAGAGGCTATCACAGAGGGCAAGTGAGGAGGAGGAGGGACTATGAAAGGAGAGAAGATGGGAGGCGACGACTGAAGCTGCAGACACACGGGCAACAGAAGCGGCTGACACAGTGGCGGCTGACACAGTGGCTACCGAGACAGAGCGCCCCGGAATACTGGAGTAACTGGCTCTGCGGCTACGACGAGCGGCAGAAGCAACGGACCCACGGGCGACTGGTGCAGCAGGCTCTCAGTGGCTACCGAGACAGTGCGTCCCGGAATACAGGAGTAACAGGCTCTGCGGCTGCGACGAGCGGCAGGAGCAACGGACCCACGGGCAACAGGTGCAGCAGGCTCTCTGAGCTACCAGGACAGTGCGTCCCGGACTACAGGTGCTGCGGACGACAAGACAGCAGCCTCCACTCAACCTCCCCCAACAGTCCCACACCCCTCTCACACACCCCCTGCTTCACCCCTAGCTCCACTCCCACATCACCCCCCTAGTGCCACTCCCCACGACTCCCACACCTCCACCCCCCTCAGCGGCAGCTGCAGCAGTGGGAGACGAAAAAGGAGGAGGGGAGAACCCACACCTCTCACCCCCATGCTCGCCACCCCACACCCCAGCCACCGCGGAACGCACGGTGGAATGGGAGCAATGGGCAGCACGGGGGGGGGGGGGGGGGGGGGGGGGGGGGGGAGGGGGGGACGGGGCGGGCTTCTGCAGAGGCGGCTCGCGCGGGTTCTGGGGCGGCTGCTGCAGGTGCGGGCTGCTCCAGGGGCGGCTGCTGCAGGTGCGGGCTGCTCCAGGGGCGGCTGCTGCAGGTGCGGGCTGCTCCAGGGGCGGCTGCTGCAGGTGCGGGCTGCTCCAGGGGCGGCTGCTGCAGTGGCGGGCGGCTCCAGGGGCTGCTGCTGCAGTGGCGGGCGGCTCCAGGGGCTGTTGCTGCAGTGGCGGGCGGCTCCAGGGGCGGCCGCCGCAGTTGAAAGGCAGAAGGGGGGGGGGGGGGGAACGCACGGCCCCCAGGGCGCCCCGAGGGGCGACGAGAAGGGAGCCGCGCGGCCCCCCCCCCGGGGCGCCGCGACGGGCACCAGGGAGGGCGCCGCGACGAGCCCCCAGAGCCGCCTCGACGGGCGACGGGGAGGGTGCCGCGCGGGCCCCCCGAAGTCGCCTCGACGGGCGACGGGGAGGGCCGCGCACGGCCCCCGAAGTCGCCTCGACAGGCGACGGGAGGGGACCGCGCGCGGCCCCCGTGGTCGCCACGACGGGCGACTGGTGGGGAGGCCGCGCGGGCCCCCAAGGTCGCCTCGACGGGCGACGGGAGGGGAGGCCGCGCGGGTCCCCGAGGTCGCCTCGACGGGCGACGGGAGGGGAGGCCGCGCGGGTCCCCGAGAGCGCCTCGACGGGCGCTTCGACGGGAGAGGACCGCGGAGGCCCCCCCAAGGGCACCACGACGGGCGCCACGGAAGGGAAAACCGCCAGGCGCCCCGAGCGCGCGGCGGGCAGAAATTAGGGTTTCGCCGCCGCGCACCACGGGGCGCGCGGCGGACAGTACGGCAGCGGAAGCGGGTGGTGGGCCCATACACAGGAAGGCGGCAGACATGCCGCCCTCTGATACCATGTCAGAAGTAGTAGGAGTACGGCCTAGGCTTAGTAGCCTAGGCCACAGTAGGACTAGTAACGAGGAGCCAAGTACGAGCTAGGAATGTGTGTAGGAACAGAATTGAGAAGGAATGATTGAACTAGCAAGCAGCAGGATACAAATAGCAAACCCTAAGGGGCTGTACTCACTATAGAGTACCCCACTGCAGGCTACACAAACAACATATTCTGACAAGATCTACACTAGCAACAGGCAAAGAACCTAAACTACGAACACGCGAGCAAACAAATCCAGCAGCACTATAATCAACATCAGCATACATCACAGAAACAGAGTCTAAAGCGTCTACTAACTCTGCCGCAGACAAGTCCCATAAAGCAAGTCCACGAGAGCGAGCAAGCGGGGCCCAGTCCGGAGCGGGGCCCGGGCCGAACTATGCGCGGACGCGGTCAGTAAGCTGAGCAAAGCACTGACCCGGAGCGTGGAAACGGCCACAGCGAAAACCCGCACGACCGCCTGACTGAACCACGTACGGGCAGGGAGGCGGAGTGACACCACGCAACGTTGAGCTGGGCGGACCACCGCCACGACCAGCGCTCCCTGGTCCGCCAGGTCCCCACTGCTGAGGCTGCTGCTGCACCTGGCGCTGAACCTGCTGTTGCGGCTGTCGCTGCTGTTGCGGCTGTCCTGACTGTGGCTGCTGCTGCTGCTGGGACTGCTGCCGCCGCTGTGCCGTGTACCACGTGACCGCACTAGCACCCCCTCTCGTCGGGCCCGCAGGCGCAGGGCCGCCCCCAGTGTCGCCTCCACCAGACGCACTAGTGTCACCAGAGCCTACGGCACCTCCGCCACCACCACCAGCGCCACCACCCTTCCCCCCTCTCTTACCTCCCTTACCCCTGGACCGCCCACCCACGGTGGACACGGCCGCAGTCTCCAAAAGAGAAGGAGACGCAATAGAGGCAAGAGAGGTAGTGAAGGTGGGAAGCTGTGGGACAGTGCACCCCTGAAACAGCGGGGGAACTACGGCGCCAGATGCGGAGGCAAAGGAGCGGATATTGCTCTCTATGTCCTTGAGAGCGGTCTCAAGGACATCGATGGTGAGCTCACTAGGGTGCTTCTGAAGAAGCTCGTCACAGACAGGTGCAAGGCAGTCAGGGAGGCTAGTGGCGATAAAGTGAATAGTGATCGCCATGGGCGGGGGGAGCAGGGCAAGCTGAGCCTCAGTACAAGCAGCACGGTAGTTGACGTTTAGCGAGCGCAGGTGGGTGATAAGATCAGCAGCGCAGTCAAACGAGCCTAAGTCAGGAAAGAGAAACGGCAGAAAGAGGCGACCAAGGGAGGTGGAGGTGGGAGTGGAGTAACGTGTCTTAATGGCAGTGAGCTGGTCCTTGGCAAATCAAACATGGCTCCTGAGAGGCACTGTTCATGGCTCCTGAGAGGCACTGTTCATGGCTCCTGAGAGGCACTGTTCATGGCTCCTGAGAGGCACTGTTCATGGCTCCTGAGAGGCACTGTTCATGGCTCCTGAGAGGCACTGTTCATGGCTCCTGAGAGGCACTGTTCATGGCTCCTGAGAGGCACTGTTCATGGCTCCTGAGAGGCACTGTTCATGGCTCCTGAGAGGCACTGTTCATGGCTCCTGAGAGGCACTGTTCATGGCTCCTGAGAGGCACTGTTCATGGCTCCTGAGAGGCACTGTTCATGGCTCCTGAGAGGCACTGTTCATGGCTCCTGAGAGGCACTGTTCATGGCTCCTGAGAGGCACTGTTCATGGCTCCTGAGAGGCACTGTTCATGGCTCCTGAGAGGCACTGTTCATGGCTCCTGAGAGGCACTGTTCATGGCTCCTGAGAGGCACTGTTCATGGCTCCTGAGAGGCACTGTTCATGGCTCCTGAGAGGCACTGTTCATGGCTCCTGAGAGGCACTGTTCATGGCTCCTGAGAGGCACTGTTCATGGCTCCTGAGAGGTAATGCTCTTGCCTTTGGAAAGCACTGTTCTCCGTTTTTTTCTGCTTCCTCTCTTGCCCCATCCCCCTGCCTGTCGCCCTCCTCCTCTCTGCCCCCACCCTCCGCACGGCCCTCCCCCTCTCAGCAGGACAGGGAGTGCCTCATCTGCCGCTACTACCTCTTCCTCTCCGCTGTCGTCTGCCCCTGCCGCCCTCGGGATGCCGTGTGCCTGCAGGTAAATGCTGCTGCTGTGTTACCCGTGCTGCCTTCCATGCAAACATCGTCCTTCATTTTCCACTGTGCAAATGCCCTTCACTTCTCACTTGCCTCAACCCCTCCTTCTCCTCATTCCCCCCTTTCGCTGTCCCGCTCTCCCCCTCTCCCTATCCCCCCTATCCCCCTGTCCCCCTCACCCCTCCTCCCCCCCATGACAGCACGCCTGTCAGCTGTGCGACTGCCCGCCTGCGCGCCGCACGCTGCTGTACCGCCTCTCCCTGGCCGAGCTTGAAGACTTGCTGCTTGCTGCAGGGGATGGCCGCACTGAGGGGCCACGCGAGGGGCGGGCAGGGAGTGGCAACGGGGGGAGCGAAAGTAGTGGAGAGGGGCGGAGCGAGGGGGGGAAGGGGAGTGGAGGGGAGGGGGGTGTGGGTGATGGACGGGGGAAAGCAGCAGTGGAGGAGGTGGTGGTGAAGGCCGAGAGCAGCAGGGCAGCAGCGGGAGGCAGCAGCAGCAGCAGCAGTGGCAAGCAAGCAGGGGAACATGCGAGCGGGCATGTAGGCGCGCACAGGGGCGGGCATGCGAGCAGCAGCGCCCCGCGTGCACCCATCACGTACTCTCGCCGCGCCAGCGCTGCTTCTGTGAGCAGCCCGCCCGTGTGCGGACTCACCAGCATTGGCATCAAGGTGCTCGCCGGGGGGTACGGGGGGGGGAGGGATGTGAAAGAGGAGGCGAAGGGCGTTGGAGGGGGAGCAGGGGGTGGGGTTGGGGGTGAGAGTGAGGGTGGGGATTCCGTGCAAGGCAAGGGCAGTGGTGGTGGTGGTGGTGAGGCGAATGGCGCTGGTGGTGTTGGTGGTAGTGGTGCTGCAGTGTGTGACAGTGACACTGACCTTGCTGCCACCATGCCATGCCGTGACAGCCGGGCATGTGCTGGCGTGGACCAATCAGCACAGCCTTCTTCCGGTGAGGCGGGCATGCGTGAGGGGCAGGTGGAGGGGCGCGTGGAGGGGGGCGTTGAGAGACGCGTTGGTGTGATTGTGAAGCAAGAAGGGGTGGAGGGTGGGAGTGGTAGTGATGGTGTGGTGGAGTCAGCAAGCAAGGGGGGCGTGGGGGAGGCGGTGTGCAAGGAACCAGGAGGAGAAGACAGAGATAGGGGTGGAAGAGGAGTTGACGGAGAGGGAGGAGGACAAGGGGAAACAGGGCAGTGCGAGGCAGAGAGCAGTGGTGTGCGACGAAGCAGCCGCCGAGCTGCCGCCGCCGCTGCTGCTGCTGCAGCAGAAGCGGCAGCAGCAGGTGCAGAAGAAGGTGGGGAGAGCGTGAAGGAGGAGCAGAGCAGCTATGCTGCTGGCATGGGTAGAGTAGGAGGGTCGGAGAAGATTCGGGCAGGGAAGGGAGCATCTGATGGACTTGGGAGTGCAGAGGCGGAGATGGCGGAGTGGATGCAGGGCAGGGCTGCAGGGGGGAGCGGGGGAGGGGGGCACGGGGGCGAGATGGTGCAGGCGGAGGAGTTTTTGGACAGGTGTCGGGCGGGCAGTGGCGGGGGGTGGGTGGCGCAGCAGCGGCGGGTGCAGGGGCGCATGATGACGCACGGCGAGTGGGCGGCGCAGTGGGCGTCGCGGGGCAAGGTGGCGCTGCGCTCACCGCCCACCGTAGAAGCAGCGGTGGCGCTGGTGCAGCAGGCGCAGGAGTTCCTGTGGGCGGGCCATGAGGTCGATGCCGTGAGTGCCTCTGTGCTGCCGCTTTCCTCACTCACGCTCATTCTGTCCACTTCCCCTCTCGCTGCCGCTCCACGCTCTCCTCTTCTCCCCTAAATCCTTCTCATCCAGGTCGCCACCTGAACCCCTCCCCCCCCCCCCCCCCCTCCCGGTCCCCCTTACCTTACGCCCAGGCGCGGCGAGTGCACGACAGGGCACTGGCAGCGCTCACATGGGCGCACGACGTGGCCGCGTGCTGCGGCCAAACGCTGCCCGCTGCTGCTGCCGCGCCACCTCTCATTGCCTGCTCCTCCAGCCACCCGCTGCTGTCACTGCCGCCCTCTGCTTCACCCGCTGCTGCCGGGCCAAGCCACGCAGCACGAGGGGCGGGCAGCAGCGGCAGCGGAGGGGGCGGGAGGAGGAGGGGGCTGTGTGAGGTGCAGAGGCTGCTGGAGGCGGCCGCCTCGGACGTGCCCTGCATTGAGCCGCACTATAAGACGCTCAAGGTGTGTGCACGGGTGCTCAGTGGTGCAGTTGCTGAGGGGCGTGGCCCTGTCAGGTCGCAGCGAGGTCATCGGTGACGGTGATGGTTTCCTGCAGCTGCCAAGTCTGCTCCATTGACTGCTCCTTTCCCTGACGCCCACATCTGTCCTCCTGCCCCGCATCTGTCCTCTTGCCCCACATCTGTCCTCCTGCCCCGCATCTGTTCCCCTGCCCCATCGCCCCCACCCCCAGGTGCTGTACCGCGACGCCCTCGCCCTGGACCAGCGCATTCGCCTCGCGCTGCACGCCAAGCCGCCACTCGAGGTGTGCCTCCCTGTTGTGGACTGCATTCCATGGGCTCTCAGGCACTCCCCTCTTACACTCTTACCTTGCTCTCCGCTCCGGCTACTCTTGCTTGCGCCGCTCTTCTGTGCAGCTCACTGTGCATCATCTGATCGCACAGTCGTCTCACCTCCCCATAGGGATGAGCATGGAACCGAACAGGATTTTTTTTTGGCTAAAAGTGTTCGGGGCGAACGTGTTCGGTGTTCGCCCGAACACGTTCGGTGTTCGCCCCGCTACTGTTGCCGAGCCGCGTCAAACACGAACGCGTTCGTGTTCGTTTCGGGGCAAAAACGAACACGAATGTGTTCGACGCGACTGTCCCGGCGGGCTACAATTTACGTTGCGGGACATTCTGTTTGAGCTCAAATTTGAGCTCAAACTTAGTCGCGCTATTCAGCGGCAGCCATTACTACCACGCCCCCCACACATCACGCCGTTATCACCTCATTAGGACTTAACGAAGTTGTTACCTTAGGTTAGTCTGTCTAGACTTGGGTATGCGAGATTTAGGTTTTCGGGAAAAGATTAGACAGGGATATCGCAGAATCTCGTAAGTTGAGGGTTGGGGGTAAGCATTCGCAAATTTCGTATGCATGGGATTGAGAGGAATAGCGTTCGCATATTTCGTGAGTTGGGGGTTGTGGGGGGTTGGCGAGCAATCGCAAATTTCGTGAATATAGAACGGGGAGAGCATTTCGCCTTACGTGGGGGGAAATCCAGGTGGCTAGTTGGATAAAAGTAACTATGGATCCGTAACTAGATCTCGCAAAATGCTGATCCAGCCTAGACATTTTCCCCCAGTTTCCCGCAATTCCCCTGCCCGCCGTTGCGTATTTCGAGCGTAACAAAGGATGCCCAGGGGCGAACATGTTCGTGTTCACCTTAGCATGCAAGATGTTCGCCCTCACAGGCGAACATCGAACACCCTTTTTTGTAAAAGGTGTTCGGCGAACCGAACACTGTTCGGTTCGCCGAACGGCAGTGTTCGAGCTGGGGCGAACGCGAACACGTTTGTGTTCGCCCCTTGCTCATCCCTACCCCCCCATGCACCATGCATGCACAATCTATACGCGCTTCACGTGGCTGCATGCCCCACAACCCCCATCAGGCGAAGGAGCTACAGGCGTTGCATGCAGAGGCGGCAGCAGGCACGGTGGACATCCCTGCAGCCGCCAAGCTCAAAGACGCCCTCCTCGCCGCCCAGGTATAGTCCTGCCAATGGGTGGTACTCACACTCACACTAGAGATTTATAGTAGATAAGGGGAATATCACAGTGGTTAGATGACCATGACAATTACTTGTGACAGCTTCTCGTATTCTTCCACTTCTCACCTTTCTGAAACTGCAATTACAGCACACGTCTTAATCACCCCACCATGAATCTATTGACAGGCCTATCCACTGCTATTGCGACTTATTCTGGCTGCCTTGGTCTTTCCCCTCGCCCCTCTTCCCCCTCTGCCTGATACCCTCCCCCCGCTCCCCTCGTTCCCTTGTTGCGCCCATCCTATCAGCACTGGGTGGAGGCGGTGCAGAGAACGGTGCCGCGGGGGAAGCCACCTCGAGCAGCGGCACATGTCCCTCTGCCCGACCTGCCCTCCCTCGCCATGCTGCACTCGCAGGTGCTGCCTTGCCCATCGGCCCATCGCTGCTGCTTGCTATGCTTCTGTGATTGTCGTGCGCTCGAAAATGCACGCAGTGCGCTTGACCCTCCTCCACCTGCCTCTCAAGTGTCGCCTTACTACTAAGTTGAGGGTTGGGGGTAAGCATTCGCAAATTTCGTATGCATGGGATTGAGAGGAATAGCGTTCGCATATTTCGTGAGTTGGGGGTTGTGGGGGGTTGGCGAGCAATCGCAAATTTCGTGAATATAGAACGGGGAGAGCATTTCGCCTTACGTGGGGGGAAATCCAGGTGGCTAGTTGGATAAAAGTAACTATGGATCCGTAACTAGATCTCGCAAAATGCTGATCCAGCCTAGACATTTTCCCCCAGTTTCCCGCAATTCCCCTGCCCGCCGTTGCGTATTTCGAGCGTAACAAAGGATGCCCAGGGGCGAACATGTTCGTGTTCACCTTAGCATGCAAGATGTTCGCCCTCACAGGCGAACATCGAACACCCTTTTTTGTAAAAGGTGTTCGGCGAACCGAACACTGTTCGGTTCGCCGAACGGCAGTGTTCGAGCTGGGGCGAACGCGAACACGTTTGTGTTCGCCCCTTGCTCATCCCTACCCCCCCATGCACCATGCATGCACAATCTATACGCGCTTCACGTGGCTGCATGCCCCACAACCCCCATCAGGCGAAGGAGCTACAGGCGTTGCATGCAGAGGCGGCAGCAGGCACGGTGGACATCCCTGCAGCCGCCAAGCTCAAAGACGCCCTCCTCGCCGCCCAGGTATAGTCCTGCCAATGGGTGGTACTCACACTCACACTAGAGATTTATAGTAGATAAGGGGAATATCACAGTGGTTAGATGACCATGACAATTACTTGTGACAGCTTCTCGTATTCTTCCACTTCTCACCTTTCTGAAACTGCAATTACAGCACACGTCTTAATCACCCCACCATGAATCTATTGACAGGCCTATCCACTGCTATTGCGACTTATTCTGGCTGCCTTGGTCTTTCCCCTCGCCCCTCTTCCCCCTCTGCCTGATACCCTCCCCCCGCTCCCCTCGTTCCCTTGTTGCGCCCATCCTATCAGCACTGGGTGGAGGCGGTGCAGAGAACGGTGCCGCGGGGGAAGCCACCTCGAGCAGCGGCACATGTCCCTCTGCCCGACCTGCCCTCCCTCGCCATGCTGCACTCGCAGGTGCTGCCTTGCCCATCGGCCCATCGCTGCTGCTTGCTATGCTTCTGTGATTGTCGTGCGCTCGAAAATGCACGCAGTGCGCTTGACCCTCCTCCACCTGCCTCTCAAGTGTCGCCTTACTACTAAGTTGAGGGTTGGGGGTAAGCATTCGCAAATTTCGTATGCATGGGATTGAGAGGAATAGCGTTCGCATATTTCGTGAGTTGGGGGTTGTGGGGGGTTGGCGAGCAATCGCAAATTTCGTGAATATAGAACGGGGAGAGCATTTCGCCTTACGTGGGGGGAAATCCAGGTGGCTAGTTGGATAAAAGTAACTATGGATCCGTAACTAGATCTCGCAAAATGCTGATCCAGCCTAGACATTTTCCCCCAGTTTCCCGCAATTCCCCTGCCCGCCGTTGCGTATTTCGAGCGTAACAAAGGATGCCCAGGGGCGAACATGTTCGTGTTCGCCTTAGCATGCAAGATGTTCGCCCTCACAGGCGAACATCGAACACCCTTTTTTGTAAAAGGTGTTCGGCGAACCGAACACTGTTCGGTTCGCCGAACGGCAGTGTTCGAGCTGGGGCGAACGCGAACACGTTTGTGTTCGCCCCTTGCTCATCCCTACCCCCCCATGCACCATGCATGCACAATCTATACGCGCTTCACGTGGCTGCATGCCCCACAACCCCCATCAGGCGAAGGAGCTACAGGCGTTGCATGCAGAGGCGGCAGCAGGCACGGTGGACATCCCTGCAGCCGCCAAGCTCAAAGACGCCCTCCTCGCCGCCCAGGTATAGTCCTGCCAATGGGTGGTACTCACACTCACACTAGAGATTTATAGTAGATAAGGGGAATATCACAGTGGTTAGATGACCATGACAATTACTTGTGACAGCTTCTCGTATTCTTCCACTTCTCACCTTTCTGAAACTGCAATTACAGCACACGTCTTAATCACCCCACCATGAATCTATTGACAGGCCTATCCACTGCTATTGCGACTTATTCTGGCTGCCTTGGTCTTTCCCCTCGCCCCTCTTCCCCCTCTGCCTGATACCCTCCCCCCGCTCCCCTCGTTCCCTTGTTGCGCCCATCCTATCAGCACTGGGTGGAGGCGGTGCAGAGAACGGTGCCGCGGGGGAAGCCACCTCGAGCAGCGGCACATGTCCCTCTGCCCGACCTGCCCTCCCTCGCCATGCTGCACTCGCAGGTGCTGCCTTGCCCATCGGCCCATCGCTGCTGCTTGCTATGCTTCTGTGATTGTCTGCGCTCGAAAATGCACGCAGTGCGCTTGACCCTCCTCCACCTGCCTCTCAAGTGTCGCCTTACTACGTTTCCCCCCCTGCCCGTTACGCTTTATTTTTCCGCCTGGTTTCTCCCCCTCATCTCTACTCCGGTGCGTGCTGCGGTGTGCTGTCCTCCCTCCCCTCAGGGCGAGCGCCTGCGAGTGCGCGTGGCGGAGCACGAGGTGGTGGCGGCGCTGCTGCGCGCTGCCAGGCACATGGACGTGCAGGCTCATGCGCTGCTGCACTCCTCGCCCACCCTGCAGGTGCTGCCTCCCCAGGTGCTGCCTCCCCAGGTGCTGCCTCCCCAGGTGCTGCCTCCCCAGGTGCTGCTCCCTCGGGTGCTGCCCCCCCTATGGGGCTGCCCCTCTACACGGGCTGCCACCTGCCCACCTCGCTGCCACCTGCCCACCTCGCTGCCACCTGCCCACCTCGCTGCCACCTGCCCACCTCGCTGCCACCTGCCCACCTCGCTGCCACCTGCCCACCTCGCTGCCACCTGCCCACCTCGCTGCCACCTGCCCACCTCGCTGCCACCTGCCCACCTCGCTGCCACCTGCCCACCTCGCTGCCACCTGCCCACCTCGCTGCCACCTGCCCACCTCGCTGCCACCTGCCCACCTCGCTGCCACCTGCCCACCTCGCTGCCACCTGCCCACCTCGCTGTCACCTGCCCACCTCGCTGTCACCTCCCCACCTCGCTGCCACCTGCCCACCTCGCTGCCACCTGCCCACCTCGCTGTCACCTCCCCACCTCGCTGCCACCTGCCCACCTCGCTGTCACCTGCCCACCTCGCTGCCACCTGCCCACCTCGCTGCCACCTGCCCACCTCGCTGCCACCTGCCCACCTCGCTGCCACCTCCCCACCTCGCTGTCACCTCCCCACCTCGCTGTCACCTCCCCACCTCGCTGTCACCTGCCCACCTCGCTGTCACCTGCCCACCTCGCTGTCACCTCCCCACCTCGCTGTCACCTCCCCACCTCGCTGTCACCTGCCCACCTCGCTGTCACCTGCCCACCTCGCTGCCACCTGCCCACCTCGCTGCCACCTGCCCACCTCGCTGTCACCTGCCCACCTCGCTGCCACCTGCCCACCTCGCTGCCACCTGCCCACCTCGCTGCCACCTGCCCACCTCGCTGCCACCTCCCCACCTCGCTGTCACCTCCCCACCTCGCTGTCACCTCCCCACCTCGCTGTCACCTGCCCACCTCGCTGTCACCTCCCCACCTCGCTGTCACCTCCCCACCTCGCTGTCACCTCCCCACCTCGCTGTCACCTGCCCACCTCGCTGTCACCTGCCCACCTCGCTGCCACCTGCCCACCTCGCTGCCACCTGCCCACCTCGCTGTCACCTGCCCACCTCGCTGCCACCTGCCCACCTCGCTGTCACCTGCCCACCTCGCTGCCACCTGCCCACCTCGCTGTCACCTCCCCACCTCGCTGCCACCTGCCCACCTCGCTGTCACCTGCCCACCTCGCTGCCACCTGCCCACCTTGCTGCCACCTGCCCACCTCGCTGTCACCTGCCCACCTCGCTGTCACCTGCCCACCTCGCTGTCACCTGCCCACCTCGCTGTCACCTGCCCACCTCGCTGTCACCTGCCCACCTCGCTGTCACCTGCCCACCTCGCTGTCACCTGCCCACCTCGCTGCCACCTGCCCACCTCGCTGTCACCTGCCCACCTCGCTGTCACCTGCCCACCTCGCTGCCACCTGCCCACCTCGCTGCCACCTGCCCACCTCGCTGTCACCTGCCCACCTCGCTGTCACCTGCCCACCTCGCTGCCACCTGCCCACCTCGCTGTCACCTGCCCACCTCGCTGCCACCTGCCCACCTCGCTGCCACCTGCCCACCTCGCTGCCACCTGCCCACCTCGCTGCCACCTGCCCACCTCGCTGCCACCTGCCCACCTCGCTGCCACCTGCCCACCTCGCTGCCACCTGCCCACCTCGCTGTCACCTGCCCACCTCGCTGTCACCTGCCCACCTCGCTGTCACCTGCCCACCTCGCTGCCACCTGCCCACCTCGCTGTCACCTGCCCACCTCGCTGCCATCTGCCCACCTCGCTGCCACCTGCTCACCTCGCTGTCACCTGCCCACCTCGCTGTCACCTGCCCACCTCGCTGCCACCTGCCCACCTCGCTGCCACCTGCCCACCTCGCTGCCACCTGCCAACCTCGCTGCCACCTGCCCACCTCGCTGTCACCTGCCCACCTCGCTGTCACCTGCCCACCTCGCTGTCACCTGCCCACCTCGCTGTCACCTGCCCACCTCGCTGTCACCTGCCCACCTCGCTGTCACCTGCCCACCTCGCTGTCACCTGCCCACCTCGCTGTCACCTGCCCACCTCGCTGTCACCTGCCCACCTCGCTGTCACCTGCCCACCTCGCTGCCACCTGCCCACCTCGCTGCCACCTGCCCACCTCGCTGCCACCTGCCCACCTCGCTGCCACCTGCCCACCTCGCTGCCACCTGCCCACCTCGCTGCCACCTGCCCACCTCGCTGCCACCTGCCCACCTCGCTGCCACCTGCCCACCTCGCTGCCACCTGCCCACCTCGCTGTCACCTGCCCACCTCGCTGTCACCTGCCCACCTCGCTGTCACCTGCCCACCTCGCTGTCACCTGCCCACCTCGCTGTCACCTGCCCACCTCGCTGTCACCTGCCCACCTCGCTGTCACCTGCCCACCTCGCTGTCACCTGCCCACCTCGCTGTCACCTGCCCACCTCGCTGTCACCTGCCCACCTCGCTGTCACCTGCCCACCTCGCTGTCACCTGCCCACCTCGCTGCCACCTGCCCACCTCGCTGCCACCTGCCCACCTCGCTGCCACCTGCCCACCTCGCTGCCACCTGCCCACCTCGCTGCCACCTGCCCACCTCGCTGCCACCTGCCCACCTCGCTGCCACCTGCCCACCTCGCTGCCACCTGCCCACCTCGCTGCCACCTGCCCACCTCGCTGTCACCTGCCCACCTCGCTGTCGCCTGCCCACCTCGCTGTCGCCTGCCCACCTCGCTGTCGCCTGCCCACCTCGCTGTCACCTGCCCACCTCGCTGTCACCTGCCCACCTCGCTGTCACCTGCCCACCTCGCTGTCACCTGCCCACCTCGCTGTCACCTGCCCACCTCGCTGTCACCTGCCCACCTCGCTGCACCTGCCCACCTCGCTGCCACCTGCCCACCTCGCTGCCACCTGCCCACCTCGCTGCCACCTGCCCACCTCGCTGCCACCTGCCCACCTCGCTGCCACCTGCCCACCTCGCTGCCACCTGCCCACCTCGCTGCCACCTGCCCACCTCGCTGCCACCTGCCCACCTCGCTGTCACCTGCCCACCTCGCTGTCACCTGCCCACCTCGCTGTCACCTGCCCACCTCGCTGTCACCTGCCCACCTCGCTGTCACCTGCCCACCTCGCTACCACCTGCCCACCTCGCTGCCACCTGCCCACCTCGCTGCCACCTGCCCACCTCGCTGTCACCTGCCCACCTCGCTGTCACCTGCCCACCTCGCTGTCACCTGCCCACCTCGCTGCCACCTGCCCACCTCGCTGTCACCTGCCCACCTCGCTGCCATCTGCCCACCTCGCTGCCACCTGCCCACCTCGCTGTCACCTGCCCACCTCGCTGTCACCTGCCCACCTCGCTGCCACCTGCCCACCTCGCTGCCACCTGCCCACCTCGCTGCCACCTGCCAACCTCGCTGCCACCTGCCCACCTCGCTGTCACCTGCCCACCTCGCTGTCACCTGCCCACCTCGCTGTCACCTGCCCACCTCGCTGTCACCTGCCCACCTCGCTGTCACCTGCCCACCTCGCTGTCACCTGCCCACCTCGCTGTCACCTGCCCACCTCGCTGTCACCTGCCCACCTCGCTGTCACCTGCCCACCTCGCTGTCACCTGCCCACCTCGCTGCCACCTGCCCACCTCGCTGCCACCTGCCCACCTCGCTGCCACCTGCCCACCTCGCTGCCACCTGCCCACCTCGCTGCCACCTGCCCACCTCGCTGCCACCTGCCCACCTCGCTGCCACCTGCCCACCTCGCTGCCACCTGCCCACCTCGCTGCCACCTGCCCACCTCGCTGTCACCTGCCCACCTCGCTGTCACCTGCCCACCTCGCTGTCACCTGCCCACCTCGCTGTCACCTGCCCACCTCGCTGTCACCTGCCCACCTCGCTGTCACCTGCCCACCTCGCTGTCACCTGCCCACCTCGCTGTCACCTGCCCACCTCGCTGCCACCTGCCCACCTCGCTGTCACCTGCCCACCTCGCTGCCACCTGCCCACCTCGCTGCCACCTGCCCACCTCGCTGCCACCTGCCCACCTCGCTGCCACCTGCCCACCTCGCTGCCACCTGCCCACCTCGCTGCCACCTGCCCACCTCGCTGCCACCTGCCCACCTCGCTGCCACCTGCCCACCTCGCTGTCACCTGCCCACCTCGCTGTCACCTGCCCACCTCGCTGTCACCTGCCCACCTCGCTGTCACCTGCCCACCTCGCTGTCACCTGCCCA